GAACAGCCCTATGCTTTGCAACCCTCCTTTATCAAGTCTTGGATATTTTAACCCAAAATCATTATTTATTTCAGAGAAAGTTGGAATCCACAAAAAAACGTCTATTTCCCACATGGCCTTAATTTCGTTTTCGTAAAATGTGCAATATGAAATAGAATATATTTGAATGAATTAAATACGTTTTATTAATAATTTATTTATTGATAAAAATGTGAGTTATTTTTTTATTTATAATCTACATTGTTCCTTTAAAAAAGTGAAGGCGACTATTTTATATTCAACGCATAACCTAAAAAAATGTTGAGACAATATATGTTCAATTTTTGATGCCTCACTTTTAAATTTATTAAACTTTTTACCAACATCATATTTACTGTAAATTATTTATTATTTTCACATTGAACAGAAAAAACACAGCAAATTTATTCACTATTACTTCTAAATAAAATCATGAGCAAATTATTTTCGATGCACAAAAATATGTACAATTGTCATTATAATAGAAAGCACACTTACCGATTTTCACGTAATGCAAAACAAATTTTAAAATTATGTGGAATTCATTTCGTTGTCCATCTATCTTATTTCGTTGACTTTGAAAAGTAAAAAAATCACGTATTAAATGGAATTAAAATTTTTCAATTTCGTATACGATTATGAGATAACTTTAATTTTTTTCTATTACAGACTTCTTGCCGGGATGTCGAAGAATTCAAAAAATCACAAAATTTATTTAGACTTATAAAATAATACATTTTTTTGACCAATATTTCAGTTTAACAAATATAAGATTTACTTTTGATAAAAAAAATTACTGGAATTACACTGGAACCTCCAACCATTGCAGCGCACGAGTCTTATGTTCAATGGATGGAGGTTACCCTTGACGTCAAGGTTAAGTCAAAAAGTGGAAACACTCATGGCCGTACATATTATATACTTATGTATGGGATATATGTTCGAATAATAATTGAGATTAATTTAATTCTTTGTAAAGTAGAAAAATATAAATATAATTACGTACATTTAAATTATAATAATGCAGTTAATAATATCGATAACTCTGATCGATTGTTTAAATTAGAAAAAAATATAAAGAAACTGCGTCTAAAAGAATACGTGACTGTGACGTTACTGCTTTTTCTTGACTGACGCCATTTTTTCCCCTCTGACTCTTCTTGCCGCTACCCCCCAAGTTTTGGTAAACAACTGCAATGATCAGAGATGCAATGGTTGGAGGTTCCAGTGTATTTAAGGAAAGGAAAAAAAGTGCTGCCACCTACCTTCTAAAAACCGCGGCTCTATTGATTTTATCAACAAATGTTAATAATAAACTGTTATAAATTGAAATTAATAAAAACATTAAATTTTTATAATTATTTAACAATAATCATCATAAAAAACATAAATCTTATTGTTTCAATCATTTAACTATATATATTTTATATATATATGTATTTTGGCGTGTAGATTTGAGAAAAAATATAACGAATCTCATAGGAATTGATTATTATAGCGTTGTCAAGGAAAAACCATGAATTTTTACGAAAAATCCCTAAAAATGACTATGTACCCCCCCCCCCCCCCCTCTGGTGGCCACATTTTTTCACATAGAGAGCTCAAATTTGGTACACTTATGAATTTTTACGTGAAAATTACAGGAAAAATATAGCGAACATGATTCTTATTGATTTACATAGCGTTGTCAAGCAAAAATCAAAAATTTTGAAAAAATGCGTTTAATCCTGTTAGCGCACACAGTATTTGACCAAGACAGTTCATATTTGGTATACATGCGTATTTTTGCGTATAGATTACAGGAAAAATATAGCGAGCACGATTGGAATTGATGATCATATTGTTTTTAAGGAAAACTCATTTTTTTTAGAAAAAATCATTGATTTTTCGAATAAAAAAAGAAGAAAATTTTATCTCAAGGGATTCAAATTTATACATTTTTACGTATTTTTACGTGTAGATTACAAAAAAAATATAGCAAGAACGATTGGAGTTGATAATCATAGCGTTTTCAAGGAAAAACTGATAATTTTCGATATATGTGACTATGTTTCTATCTATGTGTTTTCATGCTCACATTACAGGAAAAATTAAGCAAAATTAGAATTTTTCCACCTGCCTTTACACTTTAACTCCCTTAAATTTTAGGTTTAAGGGTACGGAACCCTCGGTTTTAATGGGAGTGTAACTCGCACTTGTCCGATTTTTTTCAAATGAGAAGAAATCTACAAAACCATTATTTTCTCCCGAATGCCCTTAAGTCAATTTTAAATAAATAAATTTTAAAATTTAAAAAAACATTTTTTTTACATAGAAATATTTAAAATAATTTATTTTTCAGAAACAAATTTTTTGCTGAATTCTGCTGGACTTGTACAAAATTTATTTTTTAAAACAATCATTTTTGAATTCATATTTGTGAATAAAAAAATGTACTTTTGAATTTCACAACTGAATGGTTATATTTACACTGTAAAAAAAAAGATTTTAATTACAACTTCTTAGGGGATGCTATAAAAGTCCCACCATTTTGGAGTTGAAGCAAAGGGAGATAAGGCTTTACGAGTTCATTTTATGCCTAGGGAGTTAATTTAATTATTAACTCCCTTTTTGAGTTGATTTTTAACTCGAAAAATTTAACCACGTATCGACTCTAAGGGAAAAGAGGATAAATTTGGAAAAAACGCGACCATCGAAAAAGAAATTATCTCTCTTGCAGTAGCCAGCTTGGAAAACAGATGTCTATAATTGACATTTAACTTTATTTTATGTACTATTTCTTTTGTGAGTGATTGTGTGTTCGAGATTCGAAGAAAATGATAAATATTAACTATTTAATTTTATTTGTTTTTATTAACTATTTTGTCTCCAATTTCTTAAAATTTTCACTGAAAGTCAGTGATATATATAACTAATGAAAATTTCACTAAATGAGTTAGGAACCTACTTCTGCCAATTTCACCAATGAAATTTCACTACACTGAGAAAAATAATAATGTAATGTTAATAAAATAATTTGGTGGAGCACTTTTAGTTAAGATTACAAAAATTTAGTTGACATAACAGTAACGAAAGAAGCAATCAATCGAGAAATTTAGTTGGCTGTACCAAAAATTTCGTTCAAGCTTTTGCGTCTGTTAACTGAATAATTTGGTTCTCCAAACCAAACCGTCTGAATGCTCAATTGCGCATGCGCTGTTCTCGTAAATATGTCACACGTTAACCATGCTTCGCTCTTCGTGTCGTCCAGTTTTATTCAAGTGTTTTCGGGATTTTTATGTGTTTCAGAAATTCGGTAAAAAAGTGTGTGTAGTGATGCATATCGAACAAAAAGAATAAAGCTTGTTAAAAGAACGGAAGTTTTTCTCCAGCCTGTATACTTTATGAAAATAATTTACACTCACATTGTCACTAGGATTCTTAGTGTAGTGGTCAGCGTTCTTGATTTGCGTTGCGTAGTCTGAGGGTTCGATCCCCAGCAGTGTTAGGTTTTTCCGCAATAGAAATTAATTTAAGTAGACATATGGTGGTAGGTAATATAAAGCGTAAAGAATAAAAGAGGATAACAAAAGTGATAAAATTAAGTGAAAAATAAAAAATATAAGTGTGAGCCAAAAAATAATTTGGTTGAGAAAAGAAAAAAATTTTTTTCATTTAACTAAATTTTTTGTTTGCCTAAAAACAATAAGTTAGTTGTGCAAAACAAAAAATTTAGTTAAATGAAAAAAATTTTTTTCTTTTCTCAACCAAATTATTTTTTGGCTCACACTTATATTTTTTATTTTTCACTTAATTTTATCACTTTTGTTATCCTCTTTTATTCTTTTCGCTTTACATTACCTATCACCCTATGTCTACTTAAATTAATTTCTATTGCGGAAAAACCTAACACTGCTGGGGATCGAAATCTCAGACTACGCAACGCAAATCAAGAACGCTGACCACTACACTAAGAATCCTAGTGACAATGTGAGTGTAAATTATTTTCATAAAGTATACAGGCTGGAGAAAAACTTCCGTTCTTTTAACAAGCTTTATTCTCTCTGTTCGATATGCATCACTACACACACTTTTTTACCGAATTTCTGAAACACATAAAAATCCCGAAAACACTTGAATAAAACTGGACGACACGAAGAGCGAAGCATGGTTAACGTGTGACATCCGTAAACAGAGAAATAAGCCATATTTACGAGAACAGCGCATGCGCAATTGAGCATTCAGACGGTTTGGTTTGGAGAACCAAATTATTCAGTTAACAGACGCAAAAGCTTAAACGAAATTTTTGGTACAGCCAACTAAATTTCTCGATTGATTGCTTCTTTCGTTACTGTTATGTCAACTAAATTTTTGTAATCTTAACTAAAAGTGCTCTACCAAATTATTTTATTACCATTACATTATTATTTTTCTCAGTGTATAAATTTTATTTGAATTAAAATATTATTTTTGGTAATATAAAATTTCATGTTACTATTGATTCAAAAGGTAGAAATTTTTTTTCATTAATTGTTGCTTATTGTAGTAAGTCGGTTAATGTTCTCAATTTGCGTGAAACGAACTTTGCTTCGATTCCCAATAACATGAAAAATTTTTCCTCTGACATAATCATTTCGCTCTAAGTTTATTACTAGCTTTTATGCTATCTGGGTAGTTGTGAAGTTTTTAAAAAATAAATTTAGTAATTGGGATATTTTCTTCTCAAATTGAGAATAATCCATTTGTTTAAAACTATAAAATAAAAGTTTTAATTTGTGCAATATTTTAATTTAATTTTAGAATTTAATTTCGAGTAGGAATATTTTTGAGTATAGTTAAAACATTTTTCAACTATTATTGTGTATGCACGATTTTAATTATCAAAAAGAATTCACGAAATAGAAATAAAAAAATTGTTTCTTTGTAAACTAAACATAACTTTTTCATTACTGTGAATAATTTTCATTGGCTATAGTTTGCATTATATATTCTTAACATAAATGAATATGTTGCCTTCTAATTTGTGAATTGGCATTAAAAAGTATTTTAATTGCGCCCTGACCAATATTTTTAGGGCGCATATGCAAAGTTTTTCATATGTGGCTCTAAAAGTTCTGTATAAGAGGAAGAATTTTTTTGAAATTCTATCTATACCCAGTCAAACCTACATCAAGAATAAAGTAAAAATGAGAAGCAATTTTTATTTTCTTCTCTACTTGAGTGTCAATTCATTGATTTTTTTGGTATATTGTAAAAGTATTCCAAGTTCTAATGCAAATCGTGACACATCTACAACTGTCAAGAATAAAAATGAAAACTATCAGATAGCTGTTAAGCAGAAGAATGTGGATGAAGCGAAAAATTTATCTCGAAAACTAATTCAAATTCAACAAAATGACGTAAATTACAAATAAATAATAATGTATTAGACACATTTTTTGTTAGAAAGTAACGTATTTTTTTGACTTTAAAAAAAGTTTAAATTATTTTTATAAATTTATAAAGTGATACAAAAGAAGTTGACTTATGTGCATTTTTAAATATATTTGAATTGTTCAAGAAGGAAATTTCACTTCCTTAAAGAATTTTGTATATATTTTTGAACAGAGTTTCATTTAATTAACACAATTATTACAATAAAACTACATTTATTTATAAATTTAATGCACTTATAATATTAAATGTTTTTACGTTTTATAATATTTTATATTTTATAATTTGAACGAAAGTTAATTTTGAAAAAAATTTAAATCTCCCCTTAGCCTTTTTTAGTACTATAGTACATAATTTTGTGGAAATTCACATAAATGAAATTTAGTTTTTCTAACGTTAATAATAATATTATTGTTTTGATGTTGAATATTATAATTTTTTTAAGAGTCAACAAGACATTCATGTTAAACGCATATTGACAGTTGGTGATAATATTCAAATAAGACTAGATTCTATTGTTGAAATATTTTACAAAACATTTCAAGAAGCATGTTGTTTTGAAATAAGTATAAATGAAGAAAATAATGAAAAACAAAAATCTTTAATTCGAGTTCTCTATGACTCTCTTCTATATTACAGTAGAGAAATCAGTTTAGGAAAACAGAATGACAGTTATCAAAATTTTTTAAATGATATTAATAAATTGAATAGTTACGTCCCATTTAAATGTGAATTAGAAGAGAATAAATGTATGTATAACAATGAAAATTTTAACTCTGCAAAAGGTTTGTTTGAATTTGTTATTTTAATTCGTTATATGGTTGTTGAGTCTATTAAGAATTTAAAATCACAGCAGCTAAATGTTAATGGAGTAACTTTAAATTTGATTAATAAAACAATGAATTATGTAATTTTAAACATCAGGAATTTTTCTCAAGAACAAAAGTGGTCTTCTACTTTCTTGAACAAGAGTAATAAACAATTAGAAGCTAAAATTATGCAGGTATAAACATTTTTATTTTTTAAATATGAGGCTAAATTTTTGAATTGTAACAATTCAAAAAAAAATTTCTTAGAGCAGGCTATAATTTGCATGAAATTTAGTACTATGGATAAATATTTCACTCACAAATTATTACATATTAATTTTTATCAAAAACTGTAGAGGGGGAAGAGAATTAAAATTTTTGTAAAATAGTGCATTTTTTGAAAAATCATAACTATTGTATAAATTGATGAAAAAAATTTGACCTATATGTTTTTAAAAAGGTTTTTTCTACTCTTTCAAGCAAAATTTTTTTTTTTAATATTCAAAATTTACCACTTTTTTGAAAATTAAAACTGTTTTTGACTTTTTGTTAAAAAAAGGCCCTTTTTCTCTTTATTTTACCACTTAAAATGAAGCTGTATACCTACTTTTAAAGCTTCATTTTAAGGGGTAAAAAAAGGCTCCTTTTTTAAAGAAAAGTAAAAAATATTATTGATTTTCAAAAAATGAGTAAATTTTGAATTTTTTAAAAAAAATTTTGTACTTTTCGAAAGAAAAGGAAAAAAATTTTCGAAAACTTATAGGTCAAATTTTTTTTCACCGTTTTATACAATTGTTATGATTCTCCAAAAAATCCAAAGTTTACATTTTTACTATTGGTACAATTCAGGAATTTCGTCACATATTTGTTTTTAATGGGTGGGCTATTCACTGAGATCTAAAAGATCCACTGAAAATTAGACGACAACACATCAATAAAGACTTAGCTAGAGATAAGTAGTAGTAAAAGATAGTTACAGACATCAGGCATAACTATTTCAAATATTTATAATTTTGGTAATAATACAGTCAATAAGCGTTCGTTTTTAACAAATACATATGAAAAAAATTAATACAACTTCTAAATTACAGGAGAGCAACACTAAATTTAATGACGTTGAAGAAGCGTATACAAATTTAATTAATATCTTTAAAAAATATGCTGAAATATTCAGCTTGTATAAAAATATTACTTTTTGCTCTTTAAATTCGAATGATTCTTTAACAATGAATCAAACTATTTCTAGATTATGGAATAATGAAGTATTTAATGACCTTACAAATTATATTCGTGCAAATGCTGAGTTTTTAAGTAGTGAATATTGGGAAAGGTCTAAATTAAGTGTGAGAGAAATATTAACGACAATTACAAATACAGAAAATTACTTTAATAAGATACTCCTTAAATATCATGATACTTGTATCAAAAAATCAACTGACATTGCGAATGATAGACGCAACTTTGCTGAAAATATACGTAAATTTTTTCATCTCTGTTTCGTAATAACAAGAGATAGTAAAAACTTTATAGATGACACGACAGAATTAATATATTATAAAGATTTTGTAAACTTAAAGTTAAATCAACAGATTAATGTGTTTTCTCGTTTATTTTTGAATATGGAGAAAATTCTTTCCAGTAACAATAATGACACTCAAAAGTCAAATAAAATAAGGATGCTTTACAATCAGGTATAAAAAAATTTAATATTATTAATATAATAATATTATTAATATAATAATAAATATGAGTATATTTGAATTATGTTTACTAATCATTTTTATCATATTCTTCTGCAGTTGAAAAATGTGAATTCTGTAGGTTTGAAAAAACATGTGTTAAATATTTTTATTGAACACTTAAGACATATTAAAAACATAATAGGCATATATAATTATAATTGTCCCGGTTCAAAGAATGCGATAATGATTTATCAAAAAAAAAGTATTTCTGATTCTATTGAAGCTACATATCAAGTTCAAAAAATGTTACAAAACAATATAAGTGAAGCGGAGATGAAAAAGTATTACAAAAATAATGCTGTTCAATCTATAATAAATTCTAAAAACTACAATGCAAACGACTTAATACAAAATTGTCAATCACCAAATGGAGCTTTGCCAAAAAATCAAGAAATTGAAGATGATAGACAAAAACTAAACATTCTATATAACATTCATTCGGAATATTTGAAATTATTTTATAATTTAGAAAGAAAACTTATCAATCATCCATTTGACGACATTAATTTGCATGCATTCTTAACAACCTATTCTTCGACCATGAAGTCTATCAAAACAGATTTACAAGTTTATTCATTAGATAATGGCAATAGTATAATAAAAAATTTAACTCAAATTTTAAGAGAAACTAAAAATTTATCAATAGCCTACTATGAGGAGGTAAATATCACATAGATTAAATAAGCAACAAAATAATTATTATTAATAAAATTAATTTTATTTAATTATTTACAGATAAATGAAAATATTCCTGTCTTGACTGACAATGAAAAAAAGAAACTTAAATCAATAGATAGTATACTTAAGCAACATTTGAAAATTGCGACTGATTTTTTCAAAACGATTTCTAATAATTATAAATGCAATAAAGTAAATATAAATAATAATTCAAAAATTGCTGAATCAAATATTTCAAAATTAATTAAATTCATGATAGAAAGCATAACAGTCTATTCTCATTCTCACCGAAATTCTTACAAATATTTAAACTCCAAGAATGTTAATAAGAGTGAAGAAATGCTAAAATTGATACCAACAATATGTGGGCCACAAAATAAGAAAAATGAGTATATCATTAATATACTCTCTTCTATTTTCAATGAATATTATTACTATTTTCCTGACAAATTCAATGATGATGGTAGTTATAGTTGCTATATAGAAAAGCTTTATTACTTGTATAAATTAGACAACAAACTTTCAAATTTTAATTTTTCAAATACTTCTACCAACAGATCATTATTAAACGTTTATTTACTATCAACGTATAATAATATACATGACTGTTTTCTACATAAACCAAAGGTAATATACACTAATTGGACAATGTATTATAATTTCTTAAATATTAAAAAAATAGTCCAATAGTTATTACATTTGATCCTCAAAAAACCCATCGAATGGATTTTGTTAAAACATTATATAACTCTGGAGTTTTTGGGATCGCCGATTATGAATTTAATAACAATTTTTGAAGATTCAAAATAGCTAATTAAATTTGGAAAATAAATTTTCAAAAAGTGATTAAATGTACAAAAATAGTGAATCTGACAAACAACAGACCTTATAATTATTCTCTTTTTATTGGGTACATTGACATGTACTATTTGAGAGACGATCAAGTTATGAATTTTATCATTGCTCCATCAACTGATAACACTTTAAAAAACTGACTTCGGATTCGTAATTAACGACCCCAAAAATATTTGAGTAACTAATTTCAAACGAATCTGCAATTTTGAATTCTTAAAATTTGATTTCAAATTTGTTATCAGAGAGTACCAAAACATAAGAATTCCAATTCCAATTGTTCCAATTGAATTCCAATTCCAATCAATATTCTAACTATTGTTAAAAAAAATTATAACCATATTATTTTATTAACCATTTTTTATATCCCCCATAAAAAAATTTTCTGTAATTTTTTTGAAAGTTGAAATTTTTTTTCAATAACATTGTATAAATATAAAAATAGGACAACATTGGGCTTAAGAGAAAATGTAAAGAAACCTATTTTCTGACCTTTTTTCAAATTTTCTTGAAAAATCAATGTTGTCCCATTTTTAAAATTATACAGTTTTGTTAAAAAAATCTCAGCTTTCAAATAAAAATAATAAGAAGAATTTTTAAGAGGGAATAAGGGTTTAAGGAAAAAAGATAAGGGTTAAATTTGAAAAAATAGGGTTAAACATTTTTTTTAAAAGACTTTTTTCTGGTGTTGAAAAGTAGGGAAAACCCCCAAAAAAAACTTTACTGACATATTAAAATCCATAAGTTTTTGTAGAAGTTATATAGTTTCGAATGTAACAGCAACTTAAGAAGTATTTAGAATCGTTGCAAATATATTTACTGTTGTTTTCAAATGCGTATAACTTCTAAAAAAGTGTATCATATGTTAGAAGCCACGGGGTGCCTGAACAAACTTTAAATGGCCACTTTTTTTACTTAGGATTTTTTTCTTGCATTCGATTCAGGAGCTTAAACATAGTGTGTAAAAGAATTTTTAGCGAAATTCATCGAGCCGTTTTTAAAAAAAGATATTTTTTATGTTAAAAATCAATTTTGATTAATTCAAAATTTACCGATATTTCGGTAATTTACGTACATAATAAACAAAAGAAAAATATAAAATTTAATGTTTAATTTAACATTGTTTGTTAATAAAATGTTAATTTTTTAATATCTTATGATATGTAAACATTAGTTTTCATTCTATCTATAAAGAATAAAATCTGTAATTTTATTAATCTACCTATTTCCTTAATCAATTAATCGGCATAATATATTTTTAATTTTTGAAAAATTTATTTTTTAATACAAAAAATAACTTTTTTAAAAACAGCTCGACGAATTTCACTAAAAAATATTTTACACACTATTTTTATGTTCTTGAATCGAATGCAAGAAAAAATCCGAAGTAAAAAAAGTGGTCATTTAAAGTTTGTTTAGACACCCCGTGAAGCTTTTATTAATAATACAATCCATTCCATTTATTGCTATAATATATACTTTTATAAGAGTTATATCAAATTTTATAAGTGGTACACAAGAGTACCTAAGTTACGAAAAGGTTGATGAACAAAAACCAAAAGCTAACTTGACTTTCATTGTAATATTTTATATAAAACATTAAACTTTTTACAGATTAAAGATGAGTCAAACAAGATTGCACAAATTGATGAAAATATAACGCATGAGTCTAAAACTTTCAATTTATATTTGATATTGTTTGCAGTGTTTCTTACAATATTTCAACTATAAATGCAAAATACCAAGAGGCAATAAACTCATTAAATATTGTGGTTGAAAGTCTCGAAAAATTAATTGAATCCTTTAACGTCCAAAACGCGCTACTAACTTTAAAAATTTACTAGAAGAAGTCAAAGAAAAATATCGTACTCAAAAGAAAATTTTGAATCCACCTACAACGTGTAAAAAAAATTTCACTGAGGAAACATTTCAAAAAGAAATTCTTAAAATTTTATCATTTTTAAATAATAAGACAAACGATGTCGCTGACACATTAAGGAGGTTATAGCGGAAATAGAATTAACATTAGGAATTTAATGAAACTTGGTCCACTATTAGATAAATGTTTGAAAATTATGTAGCTAAATTTTTCAGACCTCTAGGTTCTTGTGAAAAAAGTTATAAGCGTTTTTGTTTTTTAACAATTAACATTGTGTCTTATGGGAATTAAGTACTTTTTCATACATATTTACTCACCACAAAATAATTAACATTAGGAAATTGATGAAACTTTTTTTAATACAAAACAGATATTTAATGATTAAATATCTGTTTAAAAAAGTGTTATTAGGTTCTTGTGGGAGCTGCAATAAATTAATTTTTAACAATATTTCACGTTTTATACGTTAAATTGAACAGCTGCCAGAACGTCTGGCAACGTTGCACACTTGATCATGCATATTATACGTTAATTTTGCGCGCTAAATTTTAAAATGTTGATTCTGATAGCACGTATAAAATACGTTATATTTAAAAAGAAAATAAAAGTTAATAAATAAAATTGATTATACATTTTTAAAATTAAATTAAAGTTAATTAAATAGAGGGATAATTGTTTTATTAAAGTAAACAAGTCATAAAGCAACCATTTGCAACTCGACTGACGTAATGTGGTGTTGCCAGACGTTTCACAGTACCGAGAAAGTCAAATCATAAAATAATGGTTTCTGTTTTGATTTATTCAGTCAATCCCTATAACCTCCTTAAGCAGTAATATTTTTCATGGCGAAAAGAAAATAAAACAAGATATGCAAAAAAAGTGTCATTTGTAAAAAATTTAAGACAAATTATGGAACATCTTAAAGTACAAAAAAATTCCACTGATATAAATCTGACAGGATCAACCCTACTCTCTCAAGGAACTGGTTCAAACGAAGGCACAACTTGGATCAAGCCTACAAGTGATACAACATCTGATATTGAGAGACGTGCAACATCACCAGAAGGGTCTGCTTCCAATGATATAAATCAGACAGTATCAACCCAACTCTCACCAGAAATTGGTACTAAAAAAGGCTTAACTTGGATTAAGCCAACAAGTGATACTACATCTGATATTGAGAGACGTGCAACATCACCAGAAGGGTCTGCTTCCACTGATATAAATTTGACAGAATCAACCCTAGTCCTACAAGAAACTGGTACTAACGAAGGCTCAACTTGGATTAAGCCAACAAGTGATACTACATCTGATATTGAGAGACGTGCAACATCACCAGAAGGGTCTGCTTCCACTGATATAAATTTAACAGAATCAACCCTAGTCCTATAAGAAACTGGTACTAACGAAGGCTCAACTTGGATTAAGCCAACAAGTGATACTACATCTGATATTGAGAGACGTGCAACATCACCAGAAGGGTCTGCTTCCACTGATATAAATTTGACAGAATCAACCCTAGTCCTACCAGAAACTGATTCAAACGAAGGCTCCACTGCGACCAATCCTACAAGTGAAACTAAATCTGAATTGAACATAAGTGAAACATCACCAGAAGGGTCTGCTTCGACTGATATAAATCTGACAGGATCTACCCTACTCTCTCAAAAAAGTGGTACAAATGTAGGCTCAACTTGGATAAAGCCTACAAGTGATACTACATCTGATATTGAGATACGTGCAACATCACGAACAGGGTATACTGCTACTGATATAATTCAGACAGGTTTAACGCTACCCTCACAAGAAACTGGTATAACCGAGGGTTCAACCTGGATCATGCCTACAACAGATAGTACATTTGATAGTGTGAGACCTGAAAGTTGCCAAAAGTGTGGAAGAAAAAATTTCCGAAAGTTTGCAATTAAAACATGCCAAAAGTACGGCATAAAAACTTGCCAAAAATGTGGAATAAAAAAGTATTGGTTATACTATTACTATTATTTGATTATTTAATAATGAATAATAAAACGGAGGAATAAAATAAAATTATTGATTTAAAATAATATTGATATTTATTATTTATAAACACAGAGATGGCCATGATGTATTTATCAATATACGGTGATATCAAAAATTGTCGAAAATATGTTTTAATCCCACTTAATAATAAATAAAATGCTATCGTCCCATTTTACAATATTTAGTACTTTAAAAAAAATTCGGTCTCTTAAATAATGCAAGAAATATTTTTTTTTTATAAACTTAATTACTGTTAACAGTAATAAATATTTTTTAAAAAAATACTGTTAACAGTACTTAAATTTCTCTTCTAGAAACAATTGATTGAAAACGATTGAAAACAATAGGAAAGAAATTTCTATTGTCCCCAATCGTGTGTCTTAATCGTGTTATTACAATTGAGGACTATTGACTTTCTTATTATATTCAAGCGTGTTTTATAGATTGTATTGCATGCACTATTGTTTGGCGGGAGTTTTTGAAAATTTTAAAAAGTGCAACTAATTAAGGGTATGTGGTCAAAGGACGTTTTTTTTCGTGGTTTGAAACTTTCTCTGAAATAAAAAATGATTTCGGGTTAAAATTTTGGAGAAATGATTTTGTTTAATACAAGGAATCTCGCTGTTCTACTCATTTAATATAACTTAAGGCAAAAATAATAAAAATAAAGCAATAAATAGTAAAATAATGTGTTTTATCATAGTTCATTCAGCGGTCACTCGCTCGAATTGGCGCTGTTTCGTGGAGCATTGACACATTCAAGCAACGTCTGTGTATGCGCCGCCATCTTTGTTTTCATTTTCGTTTAAAAATGCCACTTTTTAAACTTCATTTTTTAATAATTTAACTCAAAATTATGTATTTTTCGGAGAACAGCGAGATTCCTTGTACCCTAATCTATCATCCCTCAAAATTGTAGACAAAAATCTTTCTTCATTTTAGAGTAAAATGTATACTTCCAAAACACATTTTCCGATACTAGATCACGTGGGAGGTTCCCACATACCCTTAAACAGTCTAGAAAAATATCATTGTTTCAAACATTACACTGCCCTGCATCGATTTTGCGAATAACATGGAACATGTTGTTTCCGAATGGATTTTTTGTGCTGAACACGAATCCGGGGTCGAAAACTTCCTATCACGTCACATTTTCGAGGAAATAGGGGTTGAAACCCCACAAAACAGGGTTTTTGGAGATTTTTGAAAAATTATACAGCGAAAACCTGACGTGGTACAAACTTTGCTGATATCAGAAATTAAATGTTGGTTCACGCCCTTTCAAACGAGCCCTATTCGAAATTGATGGCAATCACCCTTAGAGCAGGGGGTGTGTTTTTTTCTAGGGGTTCACAAAAAAAATGTAAACATAACATAAAAATTCAAAATGGATAACAAATCAATAAATCATTTTGAATTTTTGAAATCTGACTTCAGATTCGTTATCAGCGACCCCAAAAACCCCCGAGTGACCATTTTCAAGTGAATTGTTTTAAATTTTTATTTTGACATCCGCCATATTGGATCCGCCATTTTGAATTTTTTGAAATCTGACTTAAGATTCGTAATTTCGCACAAATGAATGTTGTGTAAAATAAATATTTGACGTTTTAAAAATTCTCTCAAATGCAAATTCAAATAAATGAAAATTCGATTAAAAAAAAATTCTTCATAATATTTTTTTTTGTAATAATAAAAATCAATTTTAATGAATATTTTGTCCAAGGAAAACTCGAGCAAATAATAATTCTGTCAATTTTAAATTCGATGAAATAAAAAGAGTGTGAAAAAATGAAAATTCGCTTAATTAACAATTTTTTTATATAGAACTTCAAAGTGGAATTTCTGTTAAATTAATAATACCGACAAAAAAGTAAATTCTAGATAATAAAATATTATATGTTAAAAAAATAAAAATTTAGAACTTCTTCATTCGTTGCGACAAAATCACTATTTGTGCATTATATACAAAAGTTTCACGCCTCAAATAACAAGGTCGAAAGACCTATAGGTGCACTCCTCTGAATCTGGGACAAACCATTCAATTGGAAGTCAATATCTAAATTATCTCGATACAAAAACGTAAATAAAATGATTTGACTTTTCTTTTAATACCTGTTGAATCACCTGTCAGTCGGGTTTCAGTATTCAAAGTGTAAATGTATTATTTGTTCTTTCAGTTGTTCTTATTTCGCAAAAAAAAAAAAATTGTAAATTTTTCAATTAATTTTTTTTAATTTATTTATTATTTTTTGAAATTAGATTTTCATGAATAGAAAATATTTTTGTGTTTCTTCTTGATAAAAAATATTCAAATTGTGTTTAATTTAGTTATATACAATTTAAATATTTTTGTGTTAAAATCATAATAAAAAAAAAAGGATATAGTTCCGAATAGCACATACCTCCGATTTCAATAAAACTTAGTATCCCTACGTAATTTGGTGCGCTGATTACCAAAATCATAGTGAAAATTGGCGGAAATTTAATTATCATGGTAAAAACCATAAAAAACACCATAAAATCATGGTTTTTTTCGATTATGTCGTAAAAAACAAAAAACTTCGAAAAAAGTTTTAGACGAAAGTTGTAGATCTCTAAAAAACACACATTTCATGTTTTATGCATTTTTTACCAAAAGTCATTATTTTTCGAGAAAAACGCAAAATAGTAAACACGGCCTTCGGCCGCGTAAGGTACTGCTCGCTTCTCTTTTTAAGAAATCTTGGCGAGAGGGGGTGGATGTGTCCGAAAGTAATTTGCAGAAATTGTGGGGTGGAGTCTACAGCAGCGGTAAACGCAAAATAGTAAACACGGCCTTCGGCCGCGTAAGGTACTGCTCGCTTTTCTTTTTAAAAAAACCTTGGCGAGAGGGGGTGGATATGGCCGAAAGTATTTTGCGGAATTCGTTGGATCCTGAGTAATGGTGAATATGATAATTTCTGCAAATTACTTTCGGACACATCCACCCCCTCTCGCCAAGATTTCTTAAAAAGAGAAGCGAGCAGTACCTTACGCGGCCGAAGGCCGTGTTTACTATTTTGCGTTTTTCTCGAAAAATAATGACTTTTGGTAAAAAATGCATAAAACATGAAATGTGTGTTTTTTAGAGATCTACAACTTTCGTCTAAAACTTTTTTCGAAGTTTTTTGTTTTTTACGAGATAATCGAAAAAAACCATGATTTTATGGTGTTTTTTATGGTTTTTACCATGATAATTAAATTTCCGCCAATTTTCACTATGATTTTCGTAATCAGCGCACCAAATTACGTAGGGATACCAAGTTTTATCGAAATCAGAGGTATGTGCTATTCGGAACTGCACCCAAAAAAAAGTGCTAATAAGTGATTACATATTCAATATGCGATGTGAGAAAGACTATTTATAACTTCCTCATATTTTGTATGAAACTTTAAATTATAGTCTTTTAAAGTTGTGCGCACTTTCTAGATTTCCTGTTTTATGCATAAACATTAGAACAGGTCATTGCGGATTGAAAATGATATGTAATGTGTTTTAAAAAGACATTCTCACTTTAATCTATAAATATTTAAATTATTCTACATTCCTTATTAATATAAGGGGAAAAAAAAATTTATCATAAATATTTGTTCCTTTTTTACGGTACAAAATAAAAAAAAACTGTTTTAATTTTGCTTTTTTGTACTCAATGTAAAAAAATGTGTTTTTTTTTTTGACACTATGGAAAATTTTGTTTTTACCTGAAAATTGTGATTTTATTTTTAGGCACAATAAGAATTTTTTTTTTTTAAATTTATATATTATAAAAATTATAATTGAAAAATGTTATCTTGAAAAGGTTAATTTTGCCCCAGACCTACAAATTGCAATTTATGCCCTCGTTACACCCGTCTATCAAACATTATGTAAAACGAGTTCAAGCTCATAAATTAAACTGATTGATCGTGAGTACTTTTGCACTCTCAATTTTTCATTTTATTTACAACAATATTTCATTCAATAAAATCCATTGTTATATTAAAATTGAATTTTTCAAAATAAAATTATCATTTATATAAATTTATTTAATTCTAGACTTGAAAATTTTATTTTCCTTTCATAGACCAAAAAAAAAAAAAAAAAAAAAAAAAAAGATTTTTCATTTATAAATCAAAATTTCCAACAATTTTTCTGTTTAATAATGATAAATTTTTACAAATCTCTGGCCAAATAAAATTAACATTTTATAAAAACAATATTTAAAAAAACTATTTAAAAAAATATATATATATTAGAAAAATTAATTTTTATTAATTTTGGAAGATATACAAATTTTATTTTGATTTTTTTCTTTCAGCTCAGACAAAATTCTCAATTTTTATAAAATAGATATTATTTTACTTATTAAAACATTCTTTACAATCGTAAATTTTTCAATGTCAAAAAATATATTTTCTTGCAAAATTATAAATAAATCAAATTATTTTTATTAAATAATTTTTTTTAACAATATTGAAAAAATTATGATTGAAATAAAAAAGTAAGCTATTATTAAATTTAGACAAATTTGAATAAAAATTGCGATTTTTGGCTGATGTGAAAGAAAAAACTAATCATTTTTTCTGAAATGTGTATCTTTCAAAATTAATTGAAAGAATGTACAAAATATATTTGAATAGACAAAAAAATTATTTTTGGTTAAAAAAAAAAAACTGCATTTTTTGTTCCATAATTTCTTCGGTTGACGGTATTTTTTGAAAACTTTGATTCGTTTGAGAAATTCTGAATCAAAAATATTTTTTCAAATGTTGTGTTAAAACAAAAATTTTTGAAATGGATAAAAAAAAATTTTTTCTGACAATTTTGATTTTTGATAAAGAGAAAAATCGCATTTTTTGTTCCATGATTTCTCCGATTGACGGTATTTTTTGAAAACTTGGATTCATTTAAGAAATTCTGAATCAAAAATATTTTTTTTTGAACGTTGAGTTAAAATAAAAAATTTTGAAATGGCACAAGCCTTTCTTTTTTTTTTTTTTTTTTTTTATTAACGAGATGAATCAGGGTTACTCTTGAGAGTTTATAAGGACTTAATGGGATCAGAAGAAGGAATGTGTGTAGTACGACCGGAAGTCTACAAAAGAGCTTATTGCAGATAAATGAGGTCGATGATACGTGACTACATTCTAGATGTTAAATCGCTCGTCTCGTTGCGAATAAAGAACGGAAGTTTGGGGGAATTACGCGTGTGCGCGAATGTTCATCCGCGATTCAAGTTTCCAGTCTATAAGAAAGAAAGTGAAACTCCTTATAAGCAATTCCATTACCAATCCGCTTTATCATCATTCATCATATAGTGAAATTGAAATCAGCAACAAAAACACTTTTATTAGACACGTGCAATTATTTTTCATTGTGGTGATTGACAAATAAATAATTTTTTTTTTTTTTTTACTAAATAAATATTATTATTTTTTTGTGATAAACGATTTATTAATAACAACAAAAATTTTTGACAACAAAAGTTCTTCCAAAAAAGTGCAAGTGTAAAAAAAAGTTAAATTAAAAAATAAAATTAAATTCTTGAAAACAGGAAAAACAAATTTTTTATTTTGAGGAAAAGCAATTTCTGCGATTGATTAGCAAATTAATGGTTTTGAATTGATTTCAAAAAAAAAAGGTAAAGAACTGTGATAAAAAGAAATAGGAAGCAATTTATGTGAGTTTATTTTTAAAAAATTGAATTTCAAAAACTAGATTTTAAAGAGAAAAAAAAATTTTTTTTTAATTTTTCTTTGTTTTATAATATGAAAATAAAAATTGTACTGTTGTTTTCTTTGCCATTCATCACATGATATGACAAATTGTGTCTACAATACATGTAGATCGATGTTTTGTTCGTACTTTTATTTTGATTTAAAAAAAAATTTTTAAATTTGAAATTTACTTTTTTTCAAAGAAAAAAAAAAAAATTATTATTATTAGAATAAATATTTCCAAACTTTGTAAAATAATTTCAAATTTGCATAAAGCTGGAAAAACTATGAAATTTAATTATAAAATAATAATTATAAAATTTACCATAATTCATTAATAATTTTGAAATATATTTTCTCACTGTAAAAAAAATTATTTTTAAATTTTTAGGTAAATTTCAGATTTTTAAATTAAATTGTAAATCATTTTTTTTTCTTTTTTTTTTTTTTTAGAAAAAAATTGTATTTCTATGTGAATTTATTTCTATAGAGTGAAGAGGAAATTTGATACTCATGGAAAGAAGAGAAAAGAGGATTTTAAAAGATTGTAAAATATTTGTAATTTAGAAAAATTTTACTTTATAAAATACAATGGAGAAACTATGGATTTTATTAATTTCATTTGTCAGCATTTCATTAGTTAATTGTGCTCCATATTCAAATATTAGCAATTCTTCAGATGGTGAGTTATAAATAATTATAATTTTATATATAATTAAAATAAATTAAAAATATTTTTAGCAGCAATTAATGAATTTTACTAAATTAATTTAATATTTTCATTATTTATATTAAATTTTTTTTTTTTTTCAAATCATAAAAATGAGAATTTTTTATTAAAAATCTGGCAAAAAAAAAAATGTCATTCAGATGAAGTTTTTCTTTAAAACAGGAAATTCAAGTGTATAATTGTTAGTTATTTCAAGAAATTATAAGACCATTATTTGTATTTTTCAAGGAGACAGATAAGATTATAATGTATATAGGCGCGAATATGCATGATTTAGAAAATTCCAATTTAAAATTTTCACACACGTAAAGATTAAATTTTCTAATTAGAAATTATTATTATTATTATTATATTATAAATATATTAGAAAATATATTCTAAAATATATTAAAATATATTTAAATTTTCTAAATTTTCTTTTCTGCAGAGTTTGAAAATTCATACGTTGGTATACTTATTTCGCCAATTTTATCACCGGAAATTAGTAGAGAAATTGAAATTTATTGGAGTCACACAAAATATCGTCCAGGTGATAAAATTGGACTTTATATTGAAAAGCCGCGTGATGATTTGGAACCAATTTTCATAATGGAACCAAACATTCCAGTTGGAATTGCAAAAACAGGAGTACAAGCTGATTTCATTCCATCTGTTAAACTCAATTTCACTAAACAATGTTTAAGTAAGCATACACTTTTATATGTAATTACAATTTTTTGCAATTTTAATTTATAATGATGAATATTTTTATATAATTTTTTACAAGGTTTTTATGATTAAAATTAAAAAAAAAATGCAGAGATTTTTAAATTTTAACAAAATATTAAAAAATTTATAAACATCTTTAATCATTAAAAATTCCGAAGGGACTTATAAAATAATTGTTGAAAATTTTTATTTTCTTTATTAGAAAAATACAGGCCTCGAATCGACTTTAAGGCACAAAAAAAGTCGTTTTAATCGATTTATATTTTATTTTCAAAAAAAAGTCGAAAAAGTCGATTTTTTTTATTTTAACAAAATTTATTAGGTTAATGAATTTTTTTTGTTTAAATAACTAATGTTATTAGATATTAAATTCATTTTATTAATTCTGTTATGAGAATAATTATATAATGAATATTATCAAGAAAATTTATTTCAAATATTTCAGAATCAAACTAATTGTAAGACAAATTTTCAAAATTTTATTTAAGTAGGACAAATTTCTAAAAAAAATTCTTAAAGTTCCATTTTTATAATTTTTTCAAGTCTGATTTGAGCAATTTATTGAAAATTAAAAATTTTGTCATAGTTTTTAATTTTGATCGTCAAAAAAATTTCAAGAAATACTTAATCAAGTTTTACAGATTTTTAAATAAAATTTTTTTTTTTAATAATAATTTTGGAAGAGTTAGAATTGAAATTTTTAAAAATAATTGAATTTCAAAAGATTTTTTTAATTTTCAGAAAATAATTTTATAATTTTACAAAACTAAAAATAATTTATCAAATAATTTTAGATAACATTTTTTAAAAGTAATTGAATTTTCAAAGATTTACAAATTTTGATTTTTGAAATTAATTCAACTTCAAGTGATTTATAATTTAAAATTTTTTTGATGATTTCACTCAAAAAATTGATTAGAAATTGCAGACAAAAATGCAATAATTTGAAAACATTTTAAGTGATAAATGGTTTCAAATAGTTGAATTTTCGAAGAATATTATAAAAAATCATTTAAAATAATTGAATTTCAGAAGAGTTATAATTGAAATTATTAAATATCAAAAAAAAAAAATTAGATCGGAAAATTTTAGAAGCTTTTAAATTGAAATTTTTGAAAATAATTTAATTTAAAATGATTGTGCTAAATTTCTCAGACAATTATTATAATAAGAGAAAAATTTTTAGTAATTTTTGTTGAAGAAAAATTTATTAGAAATCACTTACAAAAATTAAATTCCAAAAGTTTATAATTGAAAAATGCTTTTAGATAATTGAATTTTCGAAAAATATTATAAAAATCATTAAAAATAAATGAAATTTTTGTAAATAATTAAATTTCCAGTGATTTTGAATAAAACATTTTTGGTAATTTTATTTGATAATTTTTTTAAAAATTTTTATAATTTCAGGGTGTCTAACAAGGATTGAGAAAAAAATTCCCTGACTCCTCCCTGACTTTTTAATAACTTTATTTCTGCTTTCTTTGGACAAAAATATGGTTATTGACATATTTAACAATAAATTAATTACTAATGGTAGTAACAAATGGTAATAAAAAGCATTCAAGTTTTTTTAGATTACAAAATTTTTAAATTCACAAAAAATTTTAATTTTTATAGAAATTTACAGAAATTTCCCTGACTTTGAATGAAATTTTCTGAAATTCCCTGACTTTCCCTTAACCATTAGACACCCTGAATTTATAAAAAAAATATAATTTCAAAAAAATTATTTATTTAATTTTTCTGTGCCATTAAAATTTATTGATTTCAAAAAAAAAAAAAAATTATTTATTCAATTATTCTGTGCCATTAATTATGCAACAAACACGCAAAAGTGTTTATTCTTTAGATTCGAAATAAATAAATCTTTCAGCTTCAGAAATTTAAAAATTTATTATAGAAAAAGTAAAAAAATATAAATTTATGTACTACAATTTTACACATACACGTACATATATAACTCTTTTTTTTTTTTAATACTATATGGTTGAAAATTTCTTGAAATGAAATAAAAAATATCTATAAACCATATTGTGTAACAACGAATTTTTCTTTTTTGATGATAAGTACAGCTGGATCAATTTTAGGTAAATCTTTGTGTTTAATCAATTTTTTCTCACCAGTTTGATAGATAATATATGCATGGTGGTGAAAATCAAAAGTTATTTCTTCGTAAACATTTAAATAAAAATAAATTTCATTATCAAGATAAATTATATTCAATATATCTCCAAACATTGTTTCGCTTTTTTCTATATTTAAAATTAAGATTGCTCCAATTTTGTACAGAATACCTTCAATTTCAACTTGATTATAGTATTGACATGAATCATTTTTTTTGCAATCATCAAAATAAGATTTTTCTTTATTCGAATTATTAATAGTGCCAAATTTTATATCATTTTCAAATTCAATGGAATGCATCGTTTCACACATTTTTAATGTTTCCTTTGTAGCAATGGTTTTCAATAAATTTTCATTGTAACTTGTCGATAGTGATATTTGTTTTATTGGCTGATAATAAGATTCAAAGCGTAATCCCCAAAGATTCACAATTGGTCCATACTGCAGCAGAAATCTTGGATAGTGAAATAAAGAATGAAATTTTGGTTTAAGCTTTCCATAGAATTTTTTGTATAATTTATTATGATTTTCTATTAGGTTTTTCAATATTTTTGCATCAGAGCGTATTGTTCTTGGTGAAAGTAAAATATCAAAAATTTGTCGCAAGCAAGTGTACAATTCCCAATGACAGTCATTTTCAGATATCAAATCACCTACAATTACACCAAAATATCTCACTAGATTTAACATTTTAGATGATGACATTTTAAGAGGTAAAGCATTTAACAAATGTTGTGGTGTAATTTTTGGTGGTTTATTACAATAATTTCCAATTGAACTGAAATCTTTTTCGATTCTTTCATTAAAAGTTTGCAAAGTAAAATATTGCTTTTCGTAAATAAAAGTGAAAAGAAGACCTCTCATAACATATGCACATACACCATCAAAGAAATCGTGCATATGGTCTACTGTAATATTTTCCATGACGTGAAAACCTTTAACTTGATTAAATACACATTCCTCTTTAATTCCGTTTTTTCTCACACCTTGTTGTACATCTTTTTCGTAATCGTTTTTGTTTCTCAATTTTTTTTCATCTTCCATTTCAATCGACTCTTTTGATGTGACTGTGCAAATTCTACAAAAATAATCCTTTTTATTTGACTCGTTAAAACCTAAAATTCCATTCAACTCTGAATTATCACTAAGAATCAGTAATAATTGAAATTTAACACATATCACAACATTATTTACAGTTATCAATATTCCTTTTTCATTTAAGTGATTCAATTCATCAATTATCATTTGAAAACAATTTTTATTGCCACACATTGGTATATTTTCTGAATTTATAAGAGACGAAAAAAGAAAACTATGAAATTTTGATTTTAAACGCGGTGGAAGACAAGCAATTGATGCATAGATAGCTGTAAATTTATGTCTTTCAAGTGGATTTCCAACTTCTACGTTATCGAAAAATATGTTCAGGGGAAAAACAATGTCATTTTTGAATTTTTCAAAATATTTAGTTTTCCAAAAATCCCCTTGAAGTATGTTTGTTGAAATTGTAGATTCCTCTTGCAATTGTTTAATATAATTCATTATTTCATTAAAGACACCGGGAATTTCTAAAAATGTTTTTAAACTTTCACGCAATGGAATATTTATTCCCTTTAACATTATTGGCAGTTGCACTGTTTCGTTTCCCACAATTTCTTCTATGAAATCATTACCAATTTGAAATTCTTGAAACATAAAATCCATTTTTTCTTTTTATTAAAAAACTATTAAATATTAAGTAGCTTTTAATGAATCTTGATAGAAATATTTCTGTCCGTTTATAATTAGATATGTCGATAGATTTTGAAGATCACCAAAAAAATCCCATATATAGACAAATTTCTTGATTTAAGTTTTTCAGCCAAAGTTCAAATTCAATTTGCTCATTGGTAAAGGTGTTCACAATTCTAGAATAATAAAGTAGAAAGATTATAATTTGAAAATAGGTATTATGAAACTGTCAAGTATTACTCTGTTTTTTTTTTTTTTTTTTACGTTACCTGTAAGTGCAGAATGAATAACTTTATTGAAATTTTCTACTTTGTCAAAAATCTTGATTCATTATATTGAGACTTTGATAATCAAAGACAACAGTAAACAGACTAATACGTTGTATCTGCAAAATAATTTGATTATTTTGAATTAATTACATATTTAAATATAAAAATAAGAAAAAGAAATTATTTTTAACATTGAATATGTGACGCTACGTGACAAAAGGTATATTGTAAATGATGTATTCCACGCCAAAGTGTAAGTTCATCTGCAATTGCATCTCCGATTTTTTTGAGAATTTTTTTTTTATTTTAGTACTAACTGAGACTAGCTTCCATGAATTTTTTCAAATTTTTTTAGCAAGCCGTTTTCGAGTTATGGAATTTTGAAAATTGGAGAATTTTCATGACTTTTAATTTTTGAATGCTCATAAAACTTCCTTAAAAATGCATCAATTTTAAAAGTCTTTTTTTTCAAAATTTGTGTTTTTAAACGTACTTTTCAACAAAAAAATCGAAAATTTTTTTTAAGGCCATGTGAGACAGTCACTTTTTGGTAGTTGGGGTCATGTCTCGGATTTTTCTCAAAATTGGATAAATTGTAGTGATAGTGGAGCTAAATAAGTGCACAAATTTTGAATTTGAAATTTTTAATATTTTTCGAGATATTTATAATAACAAATTTGAGCAATATTTTTTTGCTTTACTTATAACTTTTTTCCTATTAAAAATAGAGAAAAATGTTGTAAATGTTTTTTTACGCAGAAGACCTTAAACTTTTAGAAAAAAATTATTTTTTTAAAAAAATATTAATTTTTAAACAATTTGTTTAAAAAATAAAATTTGTTTATAACTTTTAAACATGTTCTCCCTCATTTAGAAGCGCGAAAAAAATCATGAATATTGTTTAAGTCATAATAAATCGATGGTTAAATTTTTGAGATGGCATTATTTTTTGTTTTCGAGATATTAATTAATTAACTAACAAAAGTTAATAAAAAATGAAATATTTTACGAACAAATAAAATTAGAGTAATTTTAAAAACACCATTAGAATGCTTATCAAAATCCGCATCCAACGAGCCCTATATGAACTATTTTGAATAAACGGGTGTTAAATTAATATTTCATTTTTTATTAACTTTTGTTAGTTAATTAATTAATGTTAAATTAGTCATATATTTTATTTTTTTTTTAAAAAAACTACGTGGTAAAAAATTCTGAAAAAAATCATAACTTCCTAAATCAATCTAATGAACAAACTGTCAAAGTTTGGTAAGTCTGTGTCATTTCCTTATATTGCCAGGGAGAATCCTTAAATTAAGAGAAAATTTCAAACTACAAAAAACATCCTTTCACATACCCTTAAGAATCAATGGTTTTAAAGAGTTGATTCTCTGTCTATTTTCAGTCCAAAAAATCAAAAATAACCTAAAGTTTCTTGGACTTAATAATTATTTTTCGCGGAGCGTCAAATGGTATAACGTAAAGAAGATAAATATAAAACAAACCTGCTTCGATTAAATCTATAACAGTATTGTAGTATATAATTAAAACACGATTCGTAAACGGCACTATACTGAAAAATCTCAACGTGTTAAGGCCTTTCTCCAATAGGATCCTAAACTCTTGCGTTGCGTATGCATTGCGTCGGTTGCTATTGGCAACCAATGCTAAAATCAACGCGTCAGTCACGCAACGCAAAAGTTTAGGTTCCTATTGGAGAAAGGCCTTTACAGCGTCCATATGATTATGATCGTAGCAGAAGACGCACTAAAAAGAGCGGCAACTGTCGTAATTTCAATTTGTGCCACAAGGGTGGGCTAAAGAGTTTAAATATTATTTCAAACGAAACAAATTTTTTTCATTCATTTTCTTTAAAAAAAATAAATATAACTTACAAATAAAGTAAATATAAATATATATATATATACTAGGGGGGCTCCGCCCCCTTGCGCGCTTCGCGCGCCAACCCCCCTGTTTTAATAATTTTTTTTTAATTTTCCATTGATCTTATTTTTCCAAATGAACCACCTATTTCAAAGAATTATTATTACAAATTCATTGAAATCTGAATAAATATTATTAAAATTAAAATTATTAAATTTTAATTAATAAATAAATAATTAAATAAATTAAAATCGACATTATAAGAAATTATTTTTAAAAATAATTTCAATGAAATTGCCTAAAAACCAATGAATTATTAAAAAGTCTTGAAACGAACATAACCTTTAAATTCAAGTCATTTTTGGCGGGAACTCCACCTCCACTTGCGGCTATATTGAAAGTCTTGAAATTTACATAACCTCAAAATTTCTGTCATTTTTGGCGGGAAATACGGAGAGAGATGAGAGAAGGGGGAAGGACTTACTGCTTTATTCAGAGTCTTAAAACAAACATAACCTCAAAATTTAGGTCATTTTTGGCGGAGGAGGGGAAATGAGAGGAGGGAGGGGGGGACTGCGGCTATATTCAGAGTCTTGAAACGAACATAACCTCAAAATTTAGGTCATTTCTGGCGGGGGAGGGGACTTGCGGCTATATTCAGAGTTTTGAAACGAACATAACCTCAAAATTTAGAAGGGTGGAGGAGTCCCTCCCCTCCTAGGTCAAAATTTCTGAAACAGCGGCGAAGGCTGCAGTGAAATCTTTTTATAATATAGAAAGATATACAAATAAATAGAATTATAAAAATAATCCAATAATCCACAATAAAATAAAATAATAATTTTTCATCTGCAGCAGCACAAAAATATAACGTTTTTTTAAATTAATCTTAAAAAAATGGCATTTTTATTTTTTTTTATCATTTTTATTTTAAAAACAAATGATGAAAAAAATTTGCCAAAAATAAACAAAAGACAAGCGATTAATGAAAATTGACGATTATTATTGTTATGTATTGTAATTTCTTATCAGTGTTTATTTAACGTTATAATTATTAATTACAAGATGTTAATATAATTAATATTCGTTATTTTAATTATACCAATTAAATTCATATTCATAGTTATTAATTAACATATAATTAAGTTACATTGATTGACTTATAATTTTTTTAAATTTATTTTTAATTGAATTAGCACAACGATAATAATAATAATAATAATAAAATTTTTTGCCAGAATATCACGTTGCATGGCTACGAACTGGAATGGTGAGAAAGGAAAATTGTCTGAAAACTGAACCAACATGGATGGCTGACATGAGGTGTATTTTGAAGAATCAAAGAATGAGAGATATTTTTTTGCCCGGCACACATGATACCTCAGCTTATACAAAAACTGATATGTTATTGCCCGAAACTCTAGTCACTAAATATGCAATTACTCAGGTATAATTACAGTAAAAAAAATTTTAATTTTCAAAATTTCAAATTTTCATTTCAATTTCATTTTGTTTATGAAAGACTTTTAAAGTAGAAATTAACAAATTTGCAATTTTGTAAAATATAAGATATATTTGTTTATATAAATAAATAATATTTTATTTTTTAATATAAAAATATCAATTTTAAAAAAATTAAATATTCTATGTGATGAAATTTTAATCAATTAAAATTTCTATAATAAAAAAACATTATTCTAACGCCTTTCTTAAAAAATATGTACTGAACAATTACTAGCATGAATTTTCAATTTCAATTTTTTTCCAAACATAAGAAATCTAAAATAGTAAAAAAAAAAAATTTTTTATTTCTTTTTAAAATATTTTATCACATTTGAAAAAATTTATTTATTTCTAAATAAATAATGTATTTGAATAAAAATTTTAAAAAAATAGAAATTAAATTAAAATTAAAAAAGAGGCATTTTACGTGTAATGTCTGAGTTAAAAAATTGATTTTTCGAAAAAAAGTGAACGTTGGGGAAATTGTTATTCTACCTGATAGTAAAATATCCCCAAAAAAATTTTTCACTTTTTTGAAATTTTGGGGGAAATGGAGGGGGGTCAATTTTATCAGTTTTCCCTGACACCCCCTACTATTTGAATTTTTTCTGTCTATAAAGATCGATTTTTTGAAGGTTTTTTCATGCTCTTCTCAATGGTGAATTTCGTTTTTTAAAATTTTTGAATTTTGACCTTGATTTTCTATAATAAAACATAAATTTGTCTATTTTCACTAAAATCGGTGCGTTCTTTTTTTAAATAAATAATTGCAAAGGAAAGCAGAGGTTTTTTCCGATTTGTATATAAATTTTCAGAATGGCGATTTTTTTTGTTTTCGAGATATTAAATATCAAGATTTTATGTCGGCGAGACGGTTGACTTATACCGTGCGCCGACATAAAATCTTTGATATTTAATATCTCGAAAACAAAAAAAATCGTCATTCTGAAAATTTATGTACAAATCGGAAAAAACCTCTGCTTTCCTTTGCAATTATTTATTTAAAGAAAGAAAGCACTGATTTTTAGTGAAAATAGCAAATTTATGTTTAATTATAGAAAATCAAGGTCAAAATTCAAAAATTTTAAAAAACAAAATTCACCATTGAAAAGAGCATAAAAAAAACTTCAAAAAACCTTTCTTTATAGACAGAAAAAATTCAAATAGTAGGGGGTGTCGGAGAAAACTAATAAAATTGACCCCCCTACATCTCCCCAAAAATTTCAAAAAAGTCAAAATTTTTTTTGGGGATATTTTACTATCGCAGGTAGAACAGAAATTTCCCCAAGGTTCACTTTTTTTCGAGAAATCAATTTTTTAACTCAGGACATTACATGTAAAATGCCTCAAAATAAGTAAATAATTTTCTAACAATTTGGAAACGAATTAAAATTTTGACAATTGTTCAAGACAGAAATTTTTATAATGTTTATTCATAAATTAAGCTTTTTTTAATAATTTAAGATAAAATTTTTTTTTTTACTAAAAAAACATTTTAAAATTTAAAATTGCTTTTTTGTTTAAAAACATGATTAATCTTTTATTTTTGATTGTCCGTCTGACTTTTCTTTGATAAATAAATTCAAAAATAAAGTTCACATTTAAAATTACTAAACTTAACTTTGAATAAATAATAAAAGTAAAACAAAAGTATAAGAAAAAGAAAATTAATTTTGTAAAAATATATTAATATTACGGATACATATATATTTTTTATTAATAATTACGGATACTTTATTTAAAAAATAAAAAAAAAATATCCAAAATATATGAGGGTAGGTATCGTATTAGAAAAAAATAAATTGTGAATCGCAAAATGGGGTATTGTAACGCTGAAAAAAAAAATTAATACATTATTGATAATCATTAGGATGATTACCCTTCAGGATGAGGATGTTCTTGGTCAATTGATATACGGAGCTCGATATCTGGACATTCGAGTGGGCTACTATGGTGCAGAGGAAATTCAATGGTGGGGAAGTCATGGACTTGTTCCTGTGGTTCCACTGCAAACAGTCATTGATGACGTGAAAATTTTTCTCGATAATACAGACGAGATTGTTATATTCGATGTACAAGAATTTCCTGTTGGTAAATTAATTTTTTTTATATATATATATTATTTAAAAATCAATTATATTTACAAAATTTTTCTTTTTTTATAAAATTCATTTTCAAAACCGCTTTGTTCTCAAATAAATATAATTTTACCTTAAAAATTACTATTATTATTGCAAATGAAGATTTTATTAAATTTTTTGTAAATAAGATGTTTGTTTAAATAATTATTAATTTCAAATAGAAATTCGGTTTCAATAAATTGTTTTATTTTATTTCTATATAGACATTTAAAAAAATAAATTCACTGTCTTTTTTTTTGTGTAATAAAATTGAGATAAAACATGAAGATTTGAGGACGTTCATACCTGGAAATGCAGACCGTCGGCAAAAAATATTTAATTGACCTTCAAAAAATTAAAATATTATTAATAACATCTGCTAGAAGAAAAGATACCAATTTTTAAGAAAAAAATTTAAAACTTACAAAAATAATTTATTTATATATAGGTACATTTTGCGAGAGACCAGTGAAATTATATAACATTTCAAAATTTACGTTGTCTATTTACGACAATTCTTTTTCTAGTACTACCTATTTAGGGTCTAAAATTATTCTAAATTATTGAAATTTGAAAAAAAATAATTTTTGTCAACTTTAGAATTTGATGAAAAATTTTTTTTTTTTTTAAATTGAAAATTTTTATACGATTATTACTCAAAACCATAAAAAATTAAATAAAAAAATTGCTGATGAAAAATAATTTGTGGAAAAATTTGAATTTTAAAATTATTAACAGTAAAAAATTTAAACCAATAAAAATTTCTGTTATTTATAGGTGTTAATTTTTTTTTTCCACATATTTTTGGAACGGAAAACCATATTCTATGACAAAAAATAATTTTTTAATATTTTACAATTGAAAAAAAAAAATTTTTTTTTTAATTTTTTTTTTTGAAAAAATTTATTTCTTGAAAATTGGTATCTATTCTTCCAGTGGATATTATTAATAATAATTCTCGAGGTCGAACTTAAATTAAATTTTTAATTTAAAAATTTTTTAAAATAATTGATGAATATTGCAGGTTTTGGCAAGGATTTTTCAGTTCATCGAAAATTAGTCGCCTTTTTGGAGGATCAATTTGCAGATTATATAATTCCAAAATCATTTAGCTGGTCCAGCACTCTAGATACAATTTGGTCTTCAGGGAAAAGACTTATAATTGGATATGATGAGCAAAATGTCGTTGGCATGTATGATAATTTATGGCCAAGTGTACATCAACAATGGGGCAATGTGCAAAAAGTTGATGAATTATACGAATATTTAAATAAAATTGAAACCAATGCTCTCAGGTAGATAGACATTACTTTTCGGAACTTTTAACTTTTCAATGAAAAAAAAAAATATATAATTTTTATTAATAGAAAAATAATTATCTTTAAATATAATTAAAGAAATTGTAAATACGAAAAAAAAGATGTTTACCTATTTTAAAATTAATGGAATAATTTTTTGTCAGTTCGTTGAAAGTGAATCCAAGATCTGCAATGGCAGAATTAACACCAAAAGCATGGGATATTTTTCTCGATAGACTGGGAGGACTTCGAAAAATGGCAGAAGAAGTTGATGCAAAAATTACAATCTGGTATAATACAAAATGGCAATTATCGGCAAATATTGTCTCTGTAGATTTCATTAAAGCAACTGGAATTGTTGAAGCTGCTTTAGAATGGAATATAAGAAGATTTAATAACAGTTTTCCAATAGAATGTAAAGCAAACAATTGAAAACTTATTTTATTGATACGCATATAATATAGATAATTCAAAGTTAATTTATTTAATCGTTAAGTTTAGAAAATTAATTTTATCTCAAAAAAAAATTTTGAAATTTCATAAAAATATATATCTTGGTTTAAAATACTAACAATTATATTAAAAAAATGATTATTAAAAGTATACAATAAAAATAAATAGTAATTTGTATATTTTAAAGAGAAAAAAGTATTTTTAAAAAATAATTAAATATAATAAAATGTATTTTATGTATTCACATAAGGGTTCATGGAAAAAAAAGAACAAATGAATAATATTAATAACTCTTGTAAATTGTAAACGAAATAAAAATTTTAAATATTTAAAGAGAAACATTTTAAAAATAAAATAATAACTAATAATATTTAAATTTATTAATATATAATATTTTTGTAAATTGTAAACAAAATAAAAATTAAAGAGAATTAAATTTTTAATTAAAAGTAACTGATATTTATATTAATTACAAAGAATTAGATGATTTTGAAAAAAAAAATTCATGCGCACCAAAAAATTAAATTTTTCAACTAATTCGACTTTTATATTTTTCTTCTAAAATTCGTTTAAATATTACTTTACACTTTAAATGATTTTCTGTTTTTTTTTATGTCATCATTGTTTGCTTAATAAAAACTTACAATTCTATTTTCTCTGATAAAATATTTAAACTGTTTTAAGTCTAAAACGCAATTCTTAGATTTCCGGCCGGAAATGCAAATAATACTTTAAAATCAAGGTAACTTAGAAGCACGAAATTATTTATTGCATTGCATGCAATAATATACAGACAACAGAGAAAAAAAATTCCTTCAGTATTCATATAAGATATAATCTTTTGAGACTTGTATATGCAATAAATTTAAAATAAAGCATTATTTCTAATTATGTCAAAATTAATTTAAAAACCACATTACAAAAAAAAAAATAGTTTACTTTAGAAAAATTAGATAAAATCTAAAAAAAAGGGGTAATTAAAGTTAAACAAAATAGAAAATAATTATTTTCTTCTAATTTGTATTGAAAAAAAATGAAAGTTTCTCTAATTTTTTATTTATTAAAATTGAAAGTATTAATGCTTTTGATATATTTTTCTAATGCGCAATTTTGGTCAGAAATAAATTATTTTAACGAAACGGGAATCGATCATTTTTTTTCTTGTTCGGCGAATAAAAAATGTGTTAAACTGCATAATTGTCCAGATTTATTGGATTTAATGCAACAGCAAGCACTTCCTGTTTCAAGGTAAATAAAAATTTATAAGATGAAATTAATTAAAAAAAATTATAATAAAATTTGATTGGGATACATGAATTTTAAAAGCAAAAGTTCCAAAAGCGAAAGTGCCAAGAAAAAAGTTCCAAATTTAAAAGATCAAAATTTTATTTTTACAAAGTACAAAATTTCCAAAAGTAAAATGATGCAAATAAATTTCAATAGTTTAAATTTTTTTAAAATTTTAATTGATTTAAGAATAAAAAATCGAAAATTCAATTTTTTAAAATATTTTCCAATTAAAAATTCTCTAAAATTCTCTATAATTCAATTATTTCTAAAAAAATTTCTTTAAAATTCTTCGCTAAATTAATTTTTTTCAATTACTTTAATACAGTTTTTCAACAAATCAGGGAAAAAAATCTTTTTTTAATTAAAAATATTCTAAAATTCTATTATTCTTTAAAGTTTGTAAAACAAATTTTATCTTAATTAAAATTTATTAAAGTTTTAATTTAAAATCTTAACTGAAATTTAATTACTTTCAAAAAATAACTCGAACTCTTCCAAATTCAATTAGTAATTGAATAATTAAATGAATTAACATTCAATTAAAAATTTTTTTTCCTAAATTTTTATTTATATAATTCTTTGTTTAATCAATTATTTCAACAGTTTTAATTCAATTTTTCAAACAATTATTTAAATCGGTTTTTAATTAATTTATAATGAATTTTCAAAAAAAATTATTTCGAAAATATTTCTGTTGAAAATTCTCTAAAATTCAATTATTGTCTGAAATTTGTAAAAAAAAAAAAAAAATTTCATTAATTCAAATTTACAAAAGTTTATCTCAACTAATTAAATTTTTTGAAAATAAAAAAGTGGACTTTTTAGACATTTCTTGTAATATGTAAATCGACTAAAATGAGTTTTTTCTTTCAAAAGTCGATCCGAAGTTTACAATTATAAAAATGTAATTGAAAATTTCAAAAATTATAATTTTAGTAGCATTATTAGAAATTTGATATTTTTCCAGTACTTTTCATCAATGCAATACAGAAAATAACAATAAATTAATGTTTTCTGACTTGAAATTGTATTTTAAAATTCGAAAAATAAAAGAAAACAATTTTTGAAAAAAAAATGAATATTGAAAAAAATATTTTTGAAAAAATTATAACTTAGGCCCTTATCGGAATTGGAACTTTTGTCTCCATATAAAAAATTTAATTGTTATACTGTTACCGTTTAATTTTTTTTTTTCTTCAAGATTACGATCCTTAATTTGTGGATACACCGAATCAAGCCTCAAAGTGTGTTGTGATCGACCTGAAGGTTTAGTTGATGCAATTTCTGATTTGGAATCATCTCCATATCCAGTCTGGAATCTTCAATGTGGGCAGAGTTTAATTAGGAGCAATGTAGAAACTTTAGGAAGTTATCCATTCGCTGTACTCGTTAGTTTCGTTAGTAAGTCATTGTATTTTTCATTTCCTCCCTAGAACACAAAATCTGAAATATTTAAATTACATTTAAAAAGCATAAAAAAAAATCTCACATATTTGTTAAATTTAAATAAAAAAATAATTTTTCTAGTTTCTGAAAAGAAGAAAATTACCAGAAAAATTATTAACTGTAAATTTCTTTGAAAAATAATTATTTAACAAGTTTTTTAGCATTTTGACTATTTTTTTTTTTTTTTACAAAAGTATATTTTTGTAAAAAAAAATGAATGAAATGCTTATAATTAGATAATAAATTTTCAGCTAAAAAATATTTTTAGATACTGTTAATAGAGCAGTGATTTATCCCTGCGTTGGTACAATAATAAATGAAAGAACTATTTTAACAACAGCTACATGTGCATTGGCCACTTATGGAAACTTTCAATTGTATGTATATTTGCACTGAAAATATTTCACGTATCATTATTTAAAAAAAAAAATTTTTTTTTTATCAGGCACTCGGTGGTAGTTGGTGAATTTGATATTTCAATGGATCCTGATTGTAATGCATTATTTTGTAGCCACGAAGCTCGACATTATCCAATATCGTATGTTATTAAATATCCCAGTTTTGAATCTGATACTTATACAAATAATATTGCTCTTTTACGTTTAACGACTTCCATTGAGTTTACAGGTAATTTATAATATTTAATGTTTTACTAATTTATTATTATTTTAATAAATTTTATATTTTAATATATCATAATTTTCTAATTAATAAAACTATAGGAATTTTTTTTTCCTTTCTTTTTATAGCTTTGTTGAAGAAAAAAAAATGTAATTTACTATAACAAGTTTCAGATTAACTTGAAAAGACGCAAAAAAATCAATTATTTAGAACCTATAAAATTATTTAATTCAATTTAAAAAGAAAAAGTCGATTAATCGCATTCGACACTTTAAAAGTCGAAATGAGGCGAATTTAAAGAAAAAAAAAAAAATTTAAAAGTACAATACGAGCCCTGTATTAATTAAATTTAGCAATAATTACAAATACTCAATTTTTTTTCTAACTGGAAATTTGTTTAAAATTATAATAAGAATTAAAATTACCTTATCTTCTCTACTAGTGACGGCACAGCCTATATGTCTTCCTCCTGACCAATTAATTGTCAACGATGGAAAAATAGGCACTGTTATTGGATGGGGAAAATTGTCTTTGCAAAGAGGTAAAAGTACAAATTTTTTTACACAAAATGTTTGCTAATTATATAATAATAAAATGCTTGGTCTGTCCTTCTGTCCTAACTTGAAGTTGGCCTTTTCTGATTTCACGTGTTTTTTTTTTAATAGTAATTTTATGACGTGTCAAATTTTGATAATTCTTTTTCTCATTTTTGCCAAAGTTGTATAATTGTGTTTCCAAATTTCGGAATAAGTTTCTTTAAAATTCCAAATTCGAAAATTCAATTCACGAAGCTGAAGTACACAACGTTTACCAACGAAATTTTTTTTAAAGTTGTATATTGATTCAAAAATTCTATACAAATACAAAAAATTTATGATGAGAAAAAAGATGCGCCAGGAAATTTCGTACAAGATAGTAATTTGAAAAAAATTTATTTTTAAAAATTAATTTTTAAGGTACCAGGGGCCAACGAATACCTATTAAATATTAATTATAAAAACACAGGCCTCGAATCAACTTAAAGACACAAAAAGTCGTTTCAGTCGATTTATATTCCAAAAAAAAAGTGGATTTGTTTTTTATTTTAACAAAAATATTTTACAGATTTTTAAATAAAAATTTTTTTTTAATAATAATTCTTTTCAAAGGGTTAAAGTTGAAATTTTTAGAAATAATTAAATTTCAAAAGATATTGTTAATTTTCAAACAATTATTACATTTTACAAAACTAAAAATAATTTATCAAACAATTTTTGGAAAACATTTTTTAAATTTAATTGAATTTTCAAAGATTTAAAATTGAGATTTTTGAAATTAATTGAAACTTTAAGTGTTTTGTAATTAAAATTTTAGATGATTTCACTAAAAATTTATTAGAAAATGCGGACAAAATACAATAATTTGAAAAATGGTTTCAGATAGTTGAATTTTCAAAGAATATTATTAAAATAGTTAAAAATAATTGAATTTCCTTAGAGTTATAATTGAAATTATTAAATTTCAAAAAAAAAAAAATTTCGATGGAAAATTTTAGAAATAATTAAATTTTAGATGCTTTTAAATTCAAATTATTGAAAATTCAATTAATTTTGAATTCCAATTTTTGAGTATAATGAAATTATATTTGATTTTAAATTGAAAATTTTTGGGAAATAATTGAATTTTAATTGAAATTTTGGATAATAATTTAATTGAAGTTCATTTTTGATTGAAAATTTGGATAATTAATTTTGAATAGAAATTTTAGAAAATAATTGAACTTTATTTCATTTTAAATTGAAAACTTGGTAAATAATTAAATTTTAATTGAAATTTTGGATAATAATTTAATTTAAGTTCATTTTTGATTGAAAATTTGGTTAATTAATTTTGAATAGAAATTTTAGAAAATAATTGAATTTTATTTCATTTTAAATTGAAAATTTTGGATAATTATTGGATTTTTAATTGATTTTGAATTAAAATTTTGGGTAATAATTGAATTTTAGTTTATTTTGAATTGAAATTTTTAAAAAATAATTAAATTTTATTGTGATATTTTTTTTAAAAAATTATAAACAATTGTTAAATTTCATAAAAATTTTAATTGAAAAATAATTTTGATATAATTGAATTTGTGATGTATTTCATTAAAATTATTAAAAATAATTAATGTAGTGAAGAATCATTTTAGTTTAAAATTTGTTAAATAATTTAATTGAAGAATATATGATGAAGATCTACATTTTATACTAGAAAAATGTATTTTATTTACATTTTTTTTCAAATGTAAAAAAAATGTCACATTTTATTAAAAGAAGTCGATAAAAGTCTTATTTTTGAAAAAAGTCAGAAAAAGTCGTATAATCCGAGGCTTGTAAACATATAATTTTCATTATTATCATTTAATATGTAATAATATTCTAATAAATTAAATTATTATTGATAATATTAATCTTTAATTTCTTTATAACAAACAATTAAACACTCAATTTGGCGCGCTTGCGCGCGTTTATTTTTGCTAGTTAAATATAATTAATTAAATATAATCGCATCAAAAAATTTATGGGTAAACCATTTGCCATAACCGCATAAACAGAAACTTAAAAACAGCGTCTGCTACATTTCAAATATCAGTGTCAAGAAAGTATGCGCAGAACACTTAAATTCGTCTGAATAGCAAAGCACGAACGATAAGCCACGCCTTCTAGTGGCTTGTTTTTCACGCCGCATCTTTACAACGGAGTTTCCCCTCCTGGTTCTAGTCTTCTTGCCTTAGAGTTATAGTTGAAATTATTAAATTTCATAAAAAAAAAAATTTTCGATAGAAAATTTTAGAAATAATTAAATTTTTAGATGCTTTTAAATTCAAATTATTGAAAATTCAATTAATTTTGAATTCAAATTTTTGAGAATAATGAAATTTTATTTGATTTTAAATTTGGAAAATAATTGAATTTCAGTTCATTTTGAATTGAAAATTATGGGAAATAATTGAATTTTAATTGAAATTTTGGATAATAATTTAATTTAAGTTCATTTTTGATTGAAAATTTGGATAATTAATTTTGAATAGAAATTTTAGAAAATAATTGAATTTTATTTCATTTTAAATTGAAAACTTGGTAAATAATTAAATTTTAAATTGAAAATTTTGGATAATTATTGGATTTTTAATTGATTTTGAATTAAAATTTCGGGTAATAATTGAATTTTAATTTATTTTGAATGGAAATTTTTAAAAAATAATTCAATTTTATTGTGATTTTTTTTTTAAATTATAAACAATTGTTAAATTTCATAAAAATTTTAATTGAAAAATAATTTTTATATAATTGAATTTGTGATGTATTTCATTAAAATTATTAAAAATAATTAATTTAGTTAATTTTAATTTTAATTTATTTAATTTTAGTTCAAAATTTGTTAAATAATTGAATTGAAGAAGATCTGAAGAAGATCTACATTTTATACTAAAAAAAATGTATTTTATTTAAATTTTTTTTCAAATGTAAAAAAAAATGTCGCATTTTATTAAAATAAGTCGATAAAAGTCGTATTTTTGAAAAAAGTCGGAAAAAGTCGTATAATCCAAGGCCTGTAAACATATAATTTTAATTATTATCATTTAATATGTAATAGTATTCTAATAAATTTAATTATTATTGATAATATTAATCTTTAATTTCTTTATAACAAACAATTAAATACTCAATTTGGTGCGCTTGCGCGCGTTTAATTTTGCTAGTATTAAAATAAAAATCAAACGAAAAGTCAAAGTAAAAGTTAGTTCAAGTTCATATTTACGTATTTTTAAATTTAAAAAAAAATTGTAATTAAAGTTTTTTTGTTTAGTAAATGTGTAGATAATTTTTAAAATAATTGATTTTTTGAAAAATTAAATATTTAAAATTTTTGTAAATAATTGAATTTCAAGGGAATTTAAATTGAAATTTTTGTAAAATTTAAATGCGGAAGATTTTTTTCTGTTACAAATTACAGACAATAATTAAATATTAAAAAATGTTTAATCAGATAATTAAAAAATATATTTCAAATAATTGAATTTCAAAAGAGCTACAGTCCAGATTTTTAAAATTATCCCAATTTCATCAAATTTTAAATTGAAATTTTTGTAAATTTGAATTGAAGACTTTTTTTAAAAGAATTTTAGGCAATAATTGAAATTTAGAGAATTTTTAATTGAAAAATGTTTTAAATAATTGAATTTTTGAAGAGTCATTAAAATTATTGAAAATAATTAATTTAGTGAAGACTTTTTAGATTCAAAATTTCAAAATAATTAAATTTAAGAAGAGCTACAGTTTGAATTAAAAATTTTTTTTGGTATTTTGTTTGTAATTTAATAAATTAATTAATTATTTTTTAATGTTATTTTGTAACATGGCATTTAAAAAAAAAAAAGGTCGAAAAAGTCATACAATCCGAGGCCTGTAAATAATTCAAAATATTAAATTATTTACACTTACATAGGGTAAGTGTACCAATTACGGCGTGTTCATAAAAAAATAACTATTATTATTATTATATTTAATATAACTGTTGCAAAATGATAAAAAAATTTATTTTAATCTTTTTTTGATACAATTTCTTATAAAGATGCACATTTAAACAATTATTAATTTAATTTATTTGAGATCAAATTTTTTTCCGCGCCGCAATTGAAACATTTTTAAGATTTTCATTGGTTCCAATTTCGGCGGGCAAAGTATCTTCAAAATACACGTAATTTTGGTCACCGCAATTGATACAAACGCGCCGCAATAGAAAATTACGGTATCAGTTTTAATTTCTCATATTTATTTAAATAATCGATTTTTATAAAGTTAAATTTTTTTTTAATATTTAAATAACATAAGCTTTTAGTTTAATAAGTCTTAAATTGAGTTTATACAATAGAAACAATGAAATCAATTTTAAAATTTAAATTGACTTTTATGTTTTAGATTCAAAAATATGGACTTGAACTAATTTTTGTAATATTAGTAATTTTTGAAATTTTTTTTTTTTTATTTCCATATTGCAGATAAGCCTTCAATTCAGCAATTATTGAGAATGAAATTAATACCTATTCAAGAATGTTCACAATATCTAAATCGAGGATTGTCAGTTGAATTTTGTGCAAAAGGAGAACAAGAGCCATGTTCTGGTTATAGTGGTGCTCCATTTATTACTAGAGAAGGCGATAATTATTTTCTGGTAATTTTATTTTAAAAAAGAAAAAACAAATGAAACTTTAATCTTATATTGATGATAATATTTTAATGCAGATTGGAATAGTGTCCCATGGATCAGATTGTGATGCACAGACAAGTGCACCGACAGTTTTTATCAATATTCAAAAATATATTGATTGGATTAGAAGCAATTTTTAAATAATATAAAGAAAAAATTTACTATTTTTTAAATTAATTATAGAGGATAATAAATAACAACAATTTAGATTATATTTAACAGATATATTTAATAAAAATATGATTTTCTTTTTACAAATCCCTACAGTTTTCTAAACATTTATTTGTGTTTAAAAATATTTAAATATTTACCACGCGTCATTTCTCTAGCTTCTTCAACTCCAAGTTCATAAGCTAAATCGTGAAGTTTTTTAACTTCTTTTATAAGTAGATCCATTGTTAAATTGCCCAATTCTAAAAAATTTAAATAATAATTAAAAAATTTCAAAAAATAGAATAAACTGTTATTTAAAAAAAAAATTTTTTTTTTTAAATGAAAAGAATAATTAAAAACTTACGATGCAATTGATTAATTTCACCGGCTGTTAGAGATGATGTCCAATAGGGCTGTTCAGTATGAGGCGAGTTTTGAGCAACATACTCATTTACACCTGGAACTTCATCATTTTCATTTTTTCATTTCATCGAAAAATAAATAGTTATTTCTAAATTTACTCAACTAAAATATGCTAAATTAAACTCACTTTGTTCTGGCCAAAGATCTGGTGATGCACGATCAAGTTTTTCCAAGCTCATTAAACTTTCTTCGACAATGGTCAATTCTAAAATTTAATTATTTTTAATGTAAATATTTTAAATATTTCGTAGGGGTGATTTTTCCGAAATATTTCTTTTTGTGAGTTGAAACAAAAATAAATAAATTGTTTGAACCCCAAAACATTTATTTATATTAAGTAGAAATAGGAATTTTCTGATTTTTTAACAGGTTGAATTATGCTAAAAAAAATTTTTATTTGTACTAAAATGCTACTAAATTTTTAAAAAAAATTTCTTTTTTCGGCAAAAAGGAATTATACCATAAAGCACTAATATACTTATGGAAATATTTTTACTTAAAGCGAACGGTAATAGAATAGAGAAGTTTGTGTTAATTATTTGTTTTAGTTTTTCTAAAAATACTTAAGAGTTGAGATATAATATTTAAAAAACTAAATTTTACACCATTTTGTCAAAGTTTTTAATAAGTTTTGATGAATTTCATAATTTTAATTTTTTTCCCTGATATTTTATACTTTTTTCCTGCCTTTTTCATACTAAAAAAAAATTCCCTTATTTTTCCAGGTTTTTCAGAAAGTCTGAATCAAATTTTACTGATTTTTAAATAATAATTTTGGAAGAGTTAAATTTGAAATTTTTAGAAATAATTGAATTTCAAAAGATTTTGTTAATTTTCAGAAAATAATTAAATTTTAAAGAACTAAAAATAATTTATCAAATAATTTTAGATAACATTTTTTAAAAGTAATTGAATTTTCAAAGATTTACCATTTTAGATTTTTGAAATTAATTGAACTTCAAGTGATTTTTAATTAAAATTTTTGATGATTTCACTCAAAAAATTGATTAGAAATTGCAGATAAAAATACAATAATTTGAAAACTTTTTAAGTGAAAAATACGGTTTCAGTTAGTTGGATTTTTGAAGAATATTATAAAAATCATTTAAAATAATTGAATTTCAAGAGAGTTATAATTGAAATTAATTAAATTTCAAAAAATTTTAGATGAAAAATTTTTGTAATAATTAAATTTTAGAAGCTTTTAAATTTAAATTTTTTAAAATATGTAATTGAATTTCAAAAGATTTTTTTAAATTTCAGACAATAATTATAATAAGAGAAATTTTTAGTGATTTCTATTGATAAAGAATTTATTAGAAATCACATTACAAAAATTGAATTCCAATTATTTTTAATTGAAAAATGATTTCAGATAATTGAATTTTCGAAGAATATTATAAAAGTCATTAAAAATAATTAAAATTTTTTGCAAATAATAAAATTTCAAGTGAACTTAAATTAAAAATTTTTGGTAATTTTATTTGCTAATTGTTTTAAAATTATAATTATAATTATTAAATTTTATAAAAAGTTTAATTTAAAAATAGTTTAGGACAATTGAATTTGTGAAAATGTAAATGTAAATTTGTAAAAATAACTCGAAAAAGTCACATTTTATTAAAATAAGTCGAAAAAAGTCGTATTTTTGAAAAAAAAAAGTCGGAAAAAGTCGAAAAAGTTGCATAATCCGAGGCCTGTAATTTGAATAGTTTTTAGATGTTTTATAATACTAAAAATATTTCAAATAAAATTATGCTTTAGCAGAAAATTCCTATTTCTAGAAAATTTATCATATTAATAGAGAAAAACGTTAAATTTTGTAGGTTATGTTAAATTATTTAAAATTTTCATATATTTTTCTTAGATTTTTAATCCATAAAAAAATTTGATATTTCGAGTTTGAAACAATAAAACTGTTAAAATTTAAAAGTGAAGCTTTATTAAAAAAAAGAAAAATCAAATTTTTGACAAATTTTATATAATTAAAAATTTTTTAAAACTCACCTGTATCGCCTTGATCTGATTCGTCGCTCGCCATTGTTGTTATGCAGGTAGTTAAACAAATATAATTAAGAAAAAAAAAACTAAATAAAACTACCCAAGTTGACAAGCTAATTACATGAGCGGGAAAGCGTCCTCTGAGTACACTTTTAAACTAGTTTTCAAAAAAAACTGTATTATACACATAAACTTTTAAGATATTTCAAATCAGTTAACTACTTATTTTTTCTCCTTCGGCTCTTCGTAATTCTTCAGTGAGACTAGCTTGTTTTTCTAATAAATAAATATTTTCTCTTTTTCTACGCTCTTGATTTTCCTGATCTCGAATAACACCCACGTGAAGTTGTTCTCTATATATACATAAAAATGAAAAAAAAAAATTTGTTATCGATTTCCTACAAACATAACCTCATAGTAAAATATATAAAGAATATTTTCATACTGCTCGTATTGTTGTTTATAATGTACGTAAGCAATAATTCCAATTGTTCCAGTACAACTTAAAGTAAGAACTACTTTTGACGCCAAAGACATTGACACTTTATTTAAAATCACAATATGATAATTGTTAAATGACTGCAGAACGCTGTATTTATACGATATGCAATGGAAATGCATATGTTTGTGGCTAACTTCACTGTAAGCATTTTCAAGAAGCTTTGTTACGAAAGTTGCGTAAGAATCGGTATATGTAATTAAATACCTCAAAAATTACAAAATACTATTAAAATATATAACTATGTAAAATTATACTTAAAATTACAAAGATTACACATTGAGAGGTTGTAAATATATTAATTTGTGTTTTTATACATGAGAATAAAAGAACTTTTTCACAAAACGTATTTACGCACTTTTACGTTTTTAACAGGGCTAATCTGATTGGTGAATGTTTCCCACCAACTTTTTGAAACCTTTTTAGTTTTTTCTTTTTAGTATTTCGAATAAAATAATATTTAAAAAAAATTTACTTTAATATTAACTATAATTATTGTAATATTTACATAAGTGTCTAAATATAAATATATTTTTAAATGAAGTAATTTCATGAAATATATCTGTTATTTTTTCTTTAATACAAAATGATATATAAAAAAGAATTGTATTTATAAAATTTTTAACAAAATATTAGATTATTATTCTATTTATTTTAATCAAAGAGTGTATGTAATAATATTTATAATCCTGATTATATTAAAGAATTTATATACTGATCGTAGTCAGTTATGTGAGAGGCAATGTCATTGTTGCTGTGTTGGAGCCACACAGTTTACCTAAAAACATGGCTTCTAAAGATACTAACCTGTCATCATTGTATGCAGAATTAAATAAACAAGGACAAAATGGAGAATATGATAGAGCATTGAAAACAGCTAATAGAAGTAATTATTACATTTTATAAGAATAAATTAATTTTATTTCAATCAAGTCTCAATTTTTGCTTTCTTTTAAAAAAAAATGTTAGACTAACCTCAAAAAAATTTTACTTTCCGTATGTTTCACATAAAAAATCCATTTTATTTGTTTACTTTCATTTATTTCAATTGTTAACAAAAAAAAAGATTTTTAAATAACATTTTGTTAATCATGTTAATTTTAAATTAAAAAATTTTTTTTATTAAATTCTTTTGAATTTTATTTTTTTTTTCAGTTTTGGGAATATCTCAAGATGAAGAAGCTGCGATACATTGTAAAGTTATATGCTACATGCAATTATCAAAATTTAACGATGCTCTTCAGCTCATTGTCAAAAATCCAAAAATTACAACGTAAGTTAAAATGTTTCATTAAATTATTATGTATCTAAAATAATATGTTTACATAATTTTTATTTTGTTGAAAATTTTTGTAATTTCTGAAAATATTTATTTCATTTTTTTTGTTATAGGAAATTGGAGTTTGAGAGAGCATATTGTTTATATCGAATGAATCAAGTACCGGAAGCTTTGAAAATTGTTGAAAGTATTCAAAATCCTTCATTGAAAATTAAAGAGTTAAAAGCTCAAATTCTTTATCGTCTTGAAAAATATGAAGATTGTTTCGCTGTGTATCGAGATATTATTAAGAACACAACAGATGATTATGAGGACGAAAGGGAAACTAATTTATCAGCCGTTATTGTCAATTTAGTTAACAACGATTCCGTAAGTATTTTCTTTTTTGAAAAAAATTTAATAGTATTTTAATTAATTACATATATTTGTGTATTTAACATTTCAGTGTCCAACAGTCAATGAATTTACATAATTTTCTGGAATTTCTAGTCAATCAAAATTTCTAAAATTTATTTACTTTTACAAAAAAAAAGTAGTGTCCTGCAAATTCTCAATTTATATTTTGTAAATTATTCTTAATTATTCGATTTTTTTTCAATTTCTTTTTTTTTTCTAAGATATTCTATTTCCATAAGATTTTGATTTTCTTTTCATTTTCTAAAATTTTCATTTTTTGTAATCGATTTTATCTCTCGGAATATTCAACGTTCAAATGAACAAAATATTTTTTTCAATCTATAAATTATTAAACATTATGATGTTAATGTAAAATAAAACAGTAAATTAAACAAATATTAAATTAATAACTTCTTTTTAGATATTTCAAACAATATTTTGTATAATAAAATTCATACTTAAAGAAGTTACAAAAAAAAAAATTTTTTGTTTATTTGAACGTTCAAAACTTTTGGCTCATTCTAAATTTTATTATTGCAATTACAAACAATGATAAAAATGTCAATTTTTCCCATAAATTATACAATGCTGAAGTACTCAACGTTTATGGTCAACGATTAGAAATAAATTTTTATTTAACACGGAAAATTAGAAAATTGTTTAGGTATCTAAAAAAATATTTTTTTTTTTATAATTTGTTGATTAATAAAAACTACAAGAAATATTTTTTTAGGCAAAAAATTATAGAATTTTTCATTTTAAAAAATTATTTCTTTAAAAATCGTTTATCATAAACGTTGCGTACTTCAGCTTTTCGTTAAATTATTATTTTATATTGAAAACTTTGAAAATTCTCGATTTTTCTTTCAAAATTTTTTCTTTTCTACTTGAGGCTTTCTATTTCTTTAAATTTTTGATATTTTTTTTTTATTTTCTAAAACGAATTTTTTCTTCAAATTCTTTATTCTTTTGGAATTTCTAAAATTTATTACATTTTTTTTTACAATCTGCGAAAAAATTATTAATAATTTTTCCTACAGATTCTCAATTTCTAAAATTCTATTTTTCTTTCAATTTTTCTTCTCTTCAACATTACATTTTGTTCAATTTTCTACTTTCTCTTTACGTCCAAAAATTAAATTATTTAAAAAAATTTTTGGTTCAATTTCAGGATAAGAGAAAAATTTGGGAAATTTTTTTTTTGCCATGGAATTGGCAGGAAAATTGAACAAACTTATAGAAATAGTCAATTATAATACTAAAAATTTTTAAAAACTTTTGCCTCTATAAAAGATCATGAATTGTTATCTATTTAAAATTTTGTCACCTACTTCACTTATTTTGATAATTTGTTACCTTTTTCTTCTTTCTCATGATTCGACTAATTTGCAGATTTAATAATAAATAATTTAGTTTGTATTGTAAAAACATTGATTTAAACTCAAAAAAGATGAAAAATAATTTATTAACCAGTTTGAAAAGAATTTTTAGAATCAAATTTCAATTGATTCTATTTTCAAACAATTCTAATTTTTATTGTTTAAAACAAATTATTTAATGATAATTTTAATCAAATGCAAATTTAATCCTTGGAAAGTTTAAATTAACGAAATTTTAATCTATCTAAAAATTAATCGATTTCAGTTTCAAATTATTCGAATTTTTAATTTATTTAAATTTTATTTGACTTAAGTTTCAAATTATTCAACATTATATATGCGTAATTTTTAAACAAATGTAATTTTTATTATTCTTTTTATTATAGTATAGTACTTAATTTACGAAAGGGCCACTTTTATTTCTTGCCAAGGCCCTTTTTATGTAAATAAATAAATAAATTAAGGGGAGGAATTTGGGTTCTAAAATCATACAAAGAAAATTTAAATTTTTAACCATTTTAGATTTTTTGAAAAAATACAAATTTTTGAAAATCTTTACTAGAGATTTTGAAGAATCATTAAAAAAAGCATGTAAAAAATTTGGCGACGAAAAATAGTTAAAATTATGAAAGAAGTTAAATATTTAAAATAAGAGTGCTATGAAGTTTTAACTCATCTTTTTCTTTAAAAAAAAAAAAAAAATTTAAACTTTGAAAATCCATGCGAGAGATTCTTAAGAATCATTAAAAAAAAAAGTTTGGAAAAAAATTGACAAAAGAAAATAGTAAAAATTGTGAAAGAAGTACAATTTTGAAAATTTTAATTTTCTTAAGACTTTAATTTCTAAAATTTTCTTTTTTCGATCACCTTGTATGCTTTTAGGACCCAAATTTTAAAATATTAATTCTTCAGTGATTGATGAAAAATTTGAGTATCTTTTATTATTAAATAAATAAATAAAAAAAAAATGCTTTAACTATTAATTATAAAATTTCAGAGTGTAGAGGTACCTTCGTTGAGGGAACATACTTACGAATTAACTTACAATGCAGCATGTCAATTGGTCGCTCAGGGTAAAGATGGTGATAAAGTAATTTTAGCTGAGGCTGAGAAAAAATTGAAAACTGCAGAAAGAATGTGTCGAGAATTACTCGAAGAAGATGGTATGACAGAGGATGAAATTGAAGATGAACTTGGTATTATAAAAATTCAACTTGGTTATTGTCTTCAACTTCAGGGTCGCGATAAAGAAGCCCAAACATTATATACAAATGTTTTAAAAACAAAACCAAATGATATTGCATTACTTGCAGTGGCAAGTAATAATTTAGTGACACTTAATAAGGATCAAAATGTTTTTGATAGTAAAAAACGAATGAAAAGTGCCACTCATGATGGTTTAGAGCATAAACTTACTCTTGCACAAAGACGAAATATCGCTTATAATCAGTGCCTTCTCGCCTTGTTTACAAATCAGGTGATTTTAACAGTTTTATTTTATATTAATTTTTTTTAATAAAGAATACAAATGTTAATTTTTTATTATAAATATTAAAGAAATTGAATATGAAAAATTTAGGAAAAAATAATGAATAATTTTTTTTTTCTTCATTATTTAGGGTGAACAGTGTCAGCAATTGTGCAATAAATTAATAAAAGATTATCCTGAATTAATTTCAAATGCAACGCTGGTAAAGGCAATGCAATTGAGTAAAGAGGGCAAAGCAAAAGAAGCTGCAAAATTATTAGCCGAATGTATGAATGGAGAAAATCAATTATCTATGAAATTAGCATGCGTTCAATTACTATTGAGTCAGGATGAAAAGAAGGAAGCAATTAAAATTCTAGAGAATTTCAGTGATAAAGAAAGATCATTACCAGGAATTGTTAGTGCACTCGTTACTCTTCACATGGCTGAGAATAATCGTGAAAGAGCATCTGAAATTCTCAAGGATGCCGTTAATTATTATAAGAAAAATAAGGTATATTAATTATTCAGTTATTAGAAATTAGATTTAAAAAAAACTTTTTTCAATTGAAATAATTTTTAATAATTTAATTTTTTATTTAGTTAAATTTTTTTTTGAGATCAAACGATTTTAATGAAAAAGAAAATATTTTTTAGGAGAATACTGGTAATTTAGGAACACTTTGGAGACAAGCTGCAGATTTTCATTTACGTGGTGGCGAAGTCACTGTTGCAGCTGCTAGTTTAGAGGAATTACTCGCAGCCTCTCCATCGGATACAAAAACACTTGCCCAATTAGTTATTGCATATGCTCAATTTGATCCGGTGAAAGCTCAACAATTATCAAAACGTTTACCGCCACTTGATCATCTTACGGAAAATATGGATGTCGATGCATTGGAAAGTAGTAATTGGGTGATTGGCAGTAAAGTTGTCAAAGGAAAAGTCGAACCATCGCCAGGGTGAGAAATAATTTTTATCTACATAAAATTAATTTCATATTGATGACAATATTTTTACATGAATTTTTTTTTTTTTTTTTCGTTTTTTTGTTTAGAAAACCTCCAAGTTCCGATGCAGCTCAAAAGAAGAACAAAAAACGTAAGCGCAAGGGTAAATTGCCAAAGAATTACGATGCAAATGTTGATCCCGATCCTGAGAGATGGTTACCGAGACATGAGAGAAGTGGTTTTAGGAAAAAGAGAGATAGAAGAAATAGGGATGCTGCAATGAAAGGAACACAGGGAGCGGCAATGGGAGCAAGTGATCAATTGTATGTACAATTTATTGTTGATTTTGGTTAAAAAGACTTTTTTCAGAATTAATGTAATTTTTAAGGAATTTACAAATTTTTGATGAAAATGTTTATATTTGTCAATTTATATTATGGAAAGTAATAGAAATATAAAATTTCAGAATTATTTCGAAAAAAATATTTCATAATTTTTTTTAATTTTTGCAGCGATATCACGAAAATGGCTACGACAAAACCATCTCCAAATCCCCGTCAAAGTCCTGCAGTTGAAACTTCTGGACCAAGACAGCAACAGCGTAAAGTTCAACAGAAGAAAAAGAAAAAAGGAGGAAAGTGGTAAAAAATTAAGTGAAAAATATTCGCAATTTTTAGAATTTCAAAACAAAAATTGTATTGACATTTACTATATTGATAAAATGTATTCATTTTCTGGAAAGTGGATAAAATTTAATACTTCATTTATTGTGTAACATTTGGGTAATTTTTAAAAAGCAAAACATTTATTGTTTTTAAACATATAAAACATATTTTATGTTACTAAATATTAATTTTATTATTATTAAATTTCCTTGTCAAAATATGCTTTCCAAGTTTAATTAATTTTAATATTTAGTATTATATTAATTATATTATTTTAATTAATTTTTTTTATAATTTGCTACTATTAGAATATTTTTTTCAGTCTTGTGCTACTAAAAACTACTTTTTTTTTAAATTTTTAGAAATTTTTCCAAATTTTTCAACAATATTACATTTCTTTAATTAAATATCTATAAATTGAATTTATTATTGATTTTAATAAATTAAAATATTTAACATTTAAATTATCGTTGATTTAAAATTTTTAATTTTAATTAAACAAAAAATCTTCTAGTAGTAGTCGTTTATTGAAATTAAACGAGTGGGATACACTTGGTAGGAGACTATTTAGTCTATACAAGGGGAGTTTCATTTGCGTTGAAAGAACAAAATCAAAAAACTTTACAAAACAATAGTATAAAAGAAAATACACACACACACACACCATCAAATTCCCGAGTGCTGGTAACAAAAGTATTCCCTAAAATTTAGTATTTCATCAATCATATAGACCATTTTTTTAACTATGATTGGGTCTTTCGAAGACAAAACAGAAATCCAGAATGTCAAAAGGTCCCCGTTCGTTGGGATTGTAAAGTATTTTATACGATACCAATTAAATAAAGGACATTCAGCAAGTATATGATAAAAATCATCCTTGACGATTCCGCAAGAGTAACACGTCGCTGGATCATTTGACAGTTTAAATTTTTTCTTTTTTATATAAATATATGTTACATGTTTGTTAAGAAGCCTGATTTGTGAAAATACACGTTTAAAGTAAAGGGGAATACGCTGATATAAAAAGGCTTTATTGTCTTCCGGAGATGATAAGGCGGGATAAATTAATAAACTATTCGAATTTTTACAGCCATGGATATCACGTTGATATTGAAATTCTTCATATTTTTTATTAAAGTGACTGCGACCCAGCTCGAAAGAGAGAGTACTCCAGTTGTCTACTTCAGAAATGTCATCAAAAAAGTGTTTTATTTGCAAATACCAATTAAGCTTTCGATCGTTTGGGTTAGAAATGGCTAGATCTTTCAGCCTGGTTAAACAAAGCTTAGGGTAACGAGAATCATCCATATTAGAGAGTTTGTTCAACCAAGATAGAACCAACCGAAAGACCCGAATGGCAAGGGGTGAACTCCCAACCTCTCTTCTAACAGCATAATTAGGGGTATTATCTGGCAAACTAAGAAGATTCTTAAAGAAGCTCAATTGCACCCTCTCGATCGAATCAAGGTGGCCGACGCCCCACAGTTGCACTTGATAAAAAAGTACACTTAGGCAAAGGCTATTGAATAATTTTGTATAAGCATTCCAAGAATCCATTTTACTGGAGTGAATTATTTTAAGTATTGCACCTACTGCCGTATTCGCAGAGCTTATAAAGTGTTTAGAGGTTTCATTAAAAGATAATGTGTTAGACAACGGGAGCCCTAGATACATAATCTCCTCGACTACTTCAATCTTTTCATCTCCAAATTTAAAATATTTATAGAAAGGTTTCATTTTTTTGTTTCTTTTAAAAATGACGATTTTAGTTTTTTTAACATTTACAATTAGTCCCTTCTGTTCGCAATATAATTTCAGAGCATTGAGCTTCTTATTAAGTTCAAAAGGGGAACTCGCAAGTAACGCAAAATCGTCCGCGTATTCCAAAGAAAGTACTTCCTTCTCATGATTGATGGAGAGGCCTCTGCAACCCTGCTCCTTCAGAAATTTACCAAAGTCGCTCACAAAAATGATAAACAATAAGGAACTAAGGACCTCCCCCTGCAAAACACCCCGAGTAACCCTAACTGACTTGGTTGAATCATTACATTTCTTTAATTAAATATCTATAAATTGAATTTATTATTGATTTTAATAAATTAAAATATTTAACATTTAAATTATCGTTGATTTAAAATTTTTAATTTTAATTAAACAAAAAATCTTCTATTTTACAATATTTAAATATATAATTAAATTACTTTCTAATTATTTAAATTGAATTTAGTAATTTAAAAAAAAAATTCGTTCTTTAAATTTTTTTTTTTTCTCATTTTCCAAGTTTTTGGAATTGTTCTTTATTTATTTTCAAATAAATTTAATACAAACTAGTCCCAAAATTGACAATTTTTCCCGTACATTCATTTCTGTTTGGAAATTTCTAAAATTCTTGATTTTTCTATAAAATTTTCTCTTCAACACTGTATTTTTTTCTATTTTTTATTTAAAAATTTATTTATTTATCAGTTAATTATTTAATTCTTAAACTTTTTCAAAATTAACTTTTTATTTTATGTATTTATGGGAATGTTAATTTTTTTTTTGTTATTAATAACAATTACAGTACAAAATCGAGGAAATGCTTTGTACCTATGTCAGGAAATTTTCTTTACTTAAAGTTGTTTTTTTTCCTTAAATAATATTAAAAATAGAAATTAAAATAATAGGTTAAAAAAATTATTTTTTTTCATTTTTTATAGTAAAATATGATTTCAGGTTCTAAAAAAAATTTTTTTTAAATTGTTACCCCTAAACAAAACCAATTATGTTTGGTTTAAATTTTATCAATTATTCCTTTAAAATTCAATTTCTTCTACAATTATTATTATTATTTTTTATCGGTAATTTTTTTTTTGTAGTCTTTTTTCATGATTCTGAACAATCAATCGTATGGATTTTTAAAGTTATTAATATTTTCAAAAAATAAAATTTCTAAAATGGTCAAAAAAATTTTTTTTTTTTAATTTTGATAATTTCAGAATAATTTTCGATTTCAAATAATACCAGAAAAAAAAATTCGACACCCCTTAACAACATTAATTTCGATGAGTTGAAATTTCATCAGTCCCTCCCCTTAATAAAAAAAAGGAGTGGAAGTTTTATTAAAATAATATTGTATTAAGAAATTATGGATTCAGAAAATACTTTTATTAATCTCGACAAATAATGTTTCCCAATCAACATATTACAAAGTAACATTGAATATAGGTAACGTGTGTATTTCTCGTACATTGTGACTAGGTATATATCTGTCATATAATTTTATCGGCAACAATTGTATAGAAAAATACAATCTCGCTTCAGTTTTAAAAGAGAAAAATTTCACCTTTCTCTATATAAGATTGTGCGCAGATCGTTATTTATATAATATATAGAATTTTTTTTTTCTCAAATATTATATTCTAGAAAATGACAACTACACGACATATATATAAATACAAATAATGCCACAATATTTCATTTGAAATATATCTTATCTAGATTTTATGTTGTTTTTATAAGAATACATATATATATATAAATTTTTACAATTATAATAAATTTCGTTGCACAAAATTGCATCGATGTTTAAGTTACTCGGATGGACATTGGGTCAACAGTTTATTGTCAGGTAAAATTTGCATATTTGCAAATTTCTGCATACATTATCAATCAAGAAACAATAATTTTATTTCATTTATCGTTGTGTATATATTAAATCAATTAATTAATATATTAACATTATGCAGAAAAAAAGATTTATTTGGAACAGCGAAAGATTTAACTAGAATAAAAAAAAGTTTTTATTTTTTTTTGCTATTTTACACTATTCTAGTAATTCACTGTTACAAATAAAATTTTTTTATATGTTGAAATTGTACAATTTTTGTATCTTATTGTATTAACACAATTTAATATTAATATTAACATAATTTTATTAATTATTATAATATTAATATTATACTGTGAATATTAATATTAATAACGGATATTTATTATTGTTCAATTAACTTTGTTCCTTAAAATCTCTGATTTAAAAATGAAAATGACAAATAATTTTCAAAATTTGAAAATGTAAAATAAAATGACAATTAAAATTTTATGATGAATTTTAACGGATAAAATAAATGATGTAATATTTCTTGATGGCATGTATATATATATATATGTAATATTAACTGAGGAAATCATTGAGGTATGAAAATTAATGTCATTTAACATTTATAAGGTCGAGTGAATTAAAGTGCATAAACTAGTCAACGTTCTCAAACACGTATCTCAGCAATTTATCAAATAACTGTTTTCATAAAGTGATATGACGCTTAAATTTGTTTTTTTTTTTTCTTACATTTATATTTTATATATAATCTATATAAATCTACGACAGAGAGTTCTGTAACAGAGATCCAAGGAAAGTTACGTCTAACTCGCCTAACTCATCTATCAGGATGAACTAATAAATATATATTATTTATTTCAAACATTCATCTAAACGAATGAGAATTATGTAGATGAGTAAGGCACGCGAAAAAGTCTTCTTTTTTTTTTCTTTATTCACATATTCTTCTTTTTCTTTTGTTTTCCACTTGTTATAGTTTTTTTTTTCTCCTCGCTGATTATTATGGCCTCTTGTGTAATATATATAACAAATAGCCTGTTTTCATATCAAGACCCGTTATTTTTATAAAACAAAAAAAGCCAAAGTTATTTTTCAGCAATCACACCTTCCCAAGCGTCATCACGTTGTTTATTTGCCAATTTTTTCTTTTCTGAAAATATTAAATTTTATGAAGAAAATTGAATTTGAGAAAAAAATACTCTGCAAATATTGAAAAAGAAAACCTTGATAAAATCAAGAAATTTAAATTAAATATTAAAATAATTTTAATATCCCTGATGAAAAATTACGAATCAATAATTCAGGGTTACCACGAAAGACTGATTTTCAAATTCCATGACTTTTCCAGATCATTTTTAAAAAAAAATTCCAGATCCAAATAATAAATATATTTTGATGAATTTTTTTAGCCACTTACGCCAAAAAAAAAATACAAATTATTTCAATTAAATTAACAATAAAATATTGTGTAAATTAATTTCTTGCAAGAAATCGCAAAATGAAATCATAAAAATTAAAAATAATGATTTTTTTTTCCATGTTTCGATGTCAACAAGATCGAATTTCTATTTAACCAGATTTTATAAATTAAAATTTATAATAAATGGAATTTTATTATCAAAGAATTTTTGTTTAATTGATTTTTCATTTAATGAAATTTTTATTTATCTGATTTTTTCATATTATCTACTTTAGCGAATTTTTATTTAACAGAATTTTTGATTAACAAAAGTTATATGTAACGGAATTTTCATAGATATTTATTTCCTAGAATTTCTAATTAATGGAATTTTTATATAATTAAATTTTTGTATTGATTTAATTTTACTTATCTGAATTTTTATTTAATCAAATTTTCACTTTTATTATTTCTTCTTTAGCAGAAATTTTATTCAGCCAAATTTTTATTTCAACTAATTTTCAATTAATAGATAGAATTCGCTTAGATAAAAACTCTATATACGAAATGAAAATTCGATTGAATCAGACTTCGAATCGACTTTAAGGCACAAAAAAGTATCTTTTAAAAAATTTATCTAAGGTCGATTCTTCATAAATTGAGTCAAATAATTAAAAAAAAAGTTTTAAAATAAATAGATTTTCCAAAATTATTCAAAACTAAATTTGTTTTATATACTATTTTATCATATAGAAACTCAATAACAAACCAAATATTTGTGATATAGATAAAATAAAATTTTTTATTAAGAATAATTCATGAAAATATTTTTAAAAAATATTATTTAGAATATTTCAGAATTTAGCTGTAAAAAATTTTCAAGATCTTTAGATTAAAAAAAAAGCAAAATTCTTTTTTCTGAACCATTTTTAAGTTTCATTTATTTGTTTATTAATTTAAAGTAAATTTATAGAAATTTTTTTCAAATTTTCAATAAAATTTTTGAGTTGAAATTGTCACAAACTTTGAAAATCAGTTTTATAAAAACTTATATATTTAAAGTCAACTCCTGAGAAATTGTTGAGTCAAATAGTGAAAATAATTTTTAAGTTAGAAGAATTTTCAAGATTTTAAATCATAAAATTTTTAAACAGGAATCTAATGCAAAAAATAATTTTTTAATAAAAATTACTCAAAACTAATTTTTTTCTTCATGTCCTTCTTTATCAAATAAAAATTCAATAAATAAATTGATCAGTTTTTTTTACACGCTATAAAAATCGAAATAAATCTCATTTTATCCGAAAAAAGTTGCATTCATTGAAAAAAGTCGTTTAATTCGTGACCTATTGAATTAGTATCAATTTATTAATTTAACTTTATAAAATTTTGCTAAAAATTAATTTAATTATAAGATTTGTTCCACTAAAAAATTGAATTACATAATGAAATTACTGAAATAATGAACCGTATTATATAAGAGATCATTTTTGATAGAGATTAAGATTTAAAAATTTTATGTTGATTTCAAATTTAAGCACTAAATTATATTTTCAGAATGATATTTTACAAAATTCCCTGACATTTCCAAGTTTTCCATGACTAAAAAAATTTCTATGACAATTCCAGGTTTTCCAGGTCTATGGCAACCCTGACAATTTAATATACTAAAATTATTCAAATTCCTTAATATAGTAAATACTAAATCAAAGAATTTGTTTTTTTTTTTAAATTTTTGTTTGCAATTTCAAATAAAGTACAAACAAAAATTTTTTCACTTTTATGGAAAATATTTTTAATATCCCTGATAAAAATGATAAATCATTTTAGTTTTTAATTCTATAAAGTTGAAAGTTGAAAAAAACTTTCACGTATGTATCATGTATATATATATATATATGTACATTTAATGTGGCAAGTATTATATATTACCTTTGGCTTCACGTAAAACAATTTTTTCACGTTCACGTTCTTGTCTAGCTGTTGCTAATTTAACACCTAGAGCTCCGGTAACTAAACGCCTCGCTAAAGCAGCACACGTCTCCGGACGATTTCTATAAGGCTGCAAAAATTCCGAGCTTTTTCTCGCTTTTGTTTTGCTGAGAGCAGTGGCCTCACTTAACGGTCGAGTTTTTACAACTGGATGATCGGATGCCAATACCTCTGCAGCTAAATAACAAAAAAAAAAAAAAAATACAAACCGCATTCCTCGTTAAAATGATTATTCTTAGATACACTACATATTATATTTATATTATGTATATTGATACTTTCTATCACTTTCAAATAATTTTTTATATATTCATAACATAAAAGTTCTAACAACATTGAAAAAATGATAAATTTTCTATTAATAAATTATTAATATCACATTTACTGGTTGGACATTAAAATTTTGAAATCAAATTCAAGGCTTTTTTTTACAGTTTTCTATGGGGTTAAAAAAATTGTCATGGTTTTCTAAATTAAAACTTACATCGCAAAAATTATGTTTACAATCAAAAATTTGCCAAAAAAAAATTCAATTAACTTTTTTAAGCGTAAATTAAAAAAAAACAACTATTTTACAAAAAATTGGAAATGTGTTTAAAAAATGTTTCAAAAATCGTAAGTTTAAATATATTTAAAAATTCAAGTTTAAAGAAAGAAATACTTGAAAAAAAATCGAGGCGAATTTATCGTTTTTTCCATATAAGGTATTTTCACGTCATTTTTTTCGGTTTTTCAAAGTTCAAGATGCTATTAAAAATTTTATTTTTTTTTTTATTAAAAATACAAAACATATATTTACTACTGTTGTTATAAAAAAAAAATTTTTTTTTCTGATTTACAAAAAATATATCCTGTTTGTTATTATATAAAAAAAGATTTTCTATTGATATTCTAAGAAAACTAAATGTAAATATTTCTTGGAAAAAAATTAAACAAAGACAAAAAGAAAATCTCTCGGAAAAATGAAAAAAAAAAGAATGAAACATAAAAAAGGAACTTTTTTTCACAGAATTGAATTAAAAAGAACCTAGAATCATATATTACATAAAAAGTCGACGATGGAAAGTTATGAACGAAAGGCCTACTTCAAAACCTTCTGTACTACTTTTAACCTTGACCTTGATTACTTAATTCAACATATTAAGTAATTCGAATAACTGTAATCCCATTTTACATTTTTAATATATTGAATAATAAAAACGAAAAAAAAATGAATACAATTAATATAACTAATTATGATTCATTTCAAATTTAAAAAATATTATTTAATCTTTATTTTAAATGTCACATTACAAAACAATTTAGAAATAGAAACTTTTTAAAGATAAATTCATTCAATTGTAACTAAATTGATTTGAAAAAAAAGATTATTATATAATTTGTTTTAAAAAAAAATCAATCAATTTAAAAATTGAAATTATATTTTAATTGTTCAATCAAATAATTGAAATTTTATGTTGTTAATTTAAAAAAATATATATATACTTATTCTTTAGTAAATTTTAGTAAAATTTCATTTAGTAAAAAAAATAGCGTTTTTATTGGTATAATTACCCCGATTAAGAATAGAAATAAATTTTTTCTATTTTTGAAAAAAATGTATCTTACCAACGAGTGGACTGCTGAAGACACCTAAACAATGAGTATCGTCAACCCATTTTAATTCAAAACCACCACTTTTGAATGGACTAAAAACAGCAACTAAATCACACGTTTTGAAATTTGATGGAAAATTGTAAATTTCAAGAACATGGGCATATTCATCGCTAGAGACTTCAATAGTCTTTGTATATGATTTGTAACTGTTTTTTGGTTGTTCGATTGTCACTTCACCAACTGCCGATGAAAGCTGAAAATAATTACCAAATACATTTGCCAACATATTCGAATCATTTTTTTTTCGAATAATTAAAAATTTTTTTCTTTATTTTAAGCGGAGGAACCGGTAAAATTTCAACCTATCAAAATTAATGTTGTTTAGAGGTGTTAAAATTAAAAATTTATTATTTTTTGAAAAAATTCCAAATTTTTCAAAATCGATTATTCAGAATCACGAGAAAAACGTATTAAAAATAATAAAAATTGTGGAAAAAGTTGAATTCTTTAATTACTCAGTCAAATAATTCTAATTTCCATAATTTTTTAATTTTAAACAGATTTACAAAAAGTTTTCAAAAGTAAATTTAAAAATTACTGATGTATAAGTTTGCAAAAAAATTGTCAACTATTTTTTTTTGACATATTTTTGGAACTTAAAATAATTTCCTTATAAAAAAAATTTAAAAAAAGTAATTTTTGACCATTTTATTATTTTTTTTCAAAAATTTTCAAAATCTGAACGATCGATTATTCAGAATTATGAAAAAATTGTCAGTGAAAAATAATGAAAATTATAAGAGAAATTCAAATTTAATTTTTTAAGAATTTCAAATTCTATTCAAGAAATTATCAGCTATGTAAATAGTTTTTTCAATTTTTCATATAATATATTATAATTTTAAATACTCCATTATTTTGGCAAAAAAAATTTACACATTTAAATTTCGATAGATTAAAATTTCACTGGTCTCTCACTTTAAAAAGTAATTATTAAAATCTTAGGAGAAAAAAAAATAATTACAACAAAAAAGAATTAAATTTTCTATTTTCTCTAATAAAAAAAAAAAAAAGAAGAAGGAGAAACATACCTCATTAATGAGAGTTGGATCCAAACAATCGCCATTGTCATCAAAAAGACTATCCCAATCACAATCGTCTCTGTCAATTTTAATAGGCGGCGATGGTGGTGCTGCAGGTTTACTTTTTTGCCTCTCAATTTTTTTCACTTTCTTCTTTTCCGGAGGTGTCATTGAAATAACAGAAACTTCTTCCTTAACATTATCATCACTATTTCTTGTATCAGAAATAATAAGAACATCAGATATGGAATTATTGCTAATTATTCTTTTATTCATCTGATTAACAACAATATCCCGTCTTGAAGCGTCATTATTATCATCATTATTTATTTCCTGACGATTCGACGACATTTCAATATCACAATTTTCTTCATTATTAGACTCGAGAATAATAATTTCACTCATATTGTCTCTATCTATTGTTAATGATTCACTATCGCAAATTTTATTATTCTTTTCGTCTGTTGTTTTTTTATCATTAACAAATGTGGTAATTAATCTATCATCAGTGTCAGATTTATTTGAATTATCATTAGTTTCTAAAAGAAAATTTTCTTCCATTCTCAATTGTTCATTTGTCTTAGAGTAATTAGAAGTACAATTACTCAAATTGGAAGACTCATCATCATTTTGAGAATTTAAAATAGATTCAAAATTGTTTATCGATTCTGTTTCTTGATTTTCAATTGATTCTTCTTTTATATTTAATCTCTCATTGTTAATTGTTGAAATATTTGATGATGATGTTTTTAAAATGTGAATCGGCGAATTTATCGAATAATCTGATTCTCTGTGTTTATCAACGCGACATTTTTCCTGTCTCACTGGACTCTCTTCTACTTCTAAACTTCTTCTATGTCTTGGCACATAAACCGCGCGATCCGGTCGCTTTTGGCGAATTGTTCTGTAAATTATTATTTTTTTTACAAGTGAATAAATTGAAAATTAAACAAAAAAAATTTTTTTTTTTAATCACAATAAAAAAAAATAGAGAAATTTTGCGATTTTTTTCTAGTAAAGAAATGAGAGCAAAATTTTTTTTTTAACATTTAAAAATTAAAGTTTTATTTATCAGAAATCGGGGCTACAATGATTTAAATCTTTAATATTAAAATTTATTAAAATTTTTAATATATATTTTTCACTTTTAATTTTGTATATTGTAAAATTAAATTTTTTTTTGTAAATTGTTAATTGAAAAGTATTGTAAAAAATTTTTCAGTGAAAAAATTATAACAATTTGCATAAAAAAATTATTCTTTTTCTAAATTGTTGATCATATATTCAAATTCATAAAATTTGAAGTTATAAAAGTAGTAAATAAATTTTTCGTTTATTGGAACTTTCAGAACTTTAGGCATATTATTGATATTTTATCCAAATTTACGAATAGAAAATAAATTACTTTTTAAAATGAAAAATTATAAAAAATTCTATAAAAAAAAAAATTGTTTTTTTATAATTTTTTTTATCAATGAAGATTTTAGGTATTTATTAAAAAAAAAAATTACTTAAAAATGGACTTTTGAAAAAATGTTACACAAGGGGCGATTATGGTATTGAATTTGTAAAATAATAATTTCAAAATATTAAAATTTGACACCCAGCTGTAATTATAGTTTGACATTTTGCCAAATGAAGTAACTATAATGTTATTAGTAAATTTGCTTTTAGAAATCAGAAAAAAAAATTTATAAAGATGAAAAAATTTTATTGAAAATTTGAAAAATCTATGAAAATCTTTATAAAATAAAATTTAATTTTAAATTTAAATTAAAAATTAAAAAATAAAACAATGTAAAAATATTCTAATCTAAAAAAATGCAGTAATTTTAATAAAGTTCCTATAATAATAATAATAATGAAGAGTTTTCAGCAACTTTTTAAAAATTATTTCCTGAATATGAAATAAAAAGTTTCCATACAGCTTAATTCGAAGAAAATAAATTTTCACTATATTTTTTATGAACAAAAACAAATTTTTTACCATAATTGCCCCAATCGCGGGGTTATTATGGTACAAATTTTGAGTTTACATAACTTACATAGAAAAAAAATTTCTAATAAAACTTAGAGAAAATCTTCATAAGAATGCTCTTAACATTACTAAATAGTTGAAAACATTTTTTCTAAAAAATTTAAAATTTTGATTAAGCATCAAAGAAGAAAATTGCAATTTTCGTACCATAATAACCCCCCCGGTTAACGGTATTTTAAAAGTAATAGTTGATTTTCCTTACTTAGTTGAGGCACAAGAATCTGGTACTGGCTGATTGGTCGTTGACTCGGAAGCAACAAGTTCATTTCTTTTTCTTCTAGCAGCTGGCGGTCTATAAATCTCCACTGTGGGAACTGTTTTTACTAAAAAAACGACACATGAAAAAAAAAACAAGACACTGATTTTTCACGTTTAAAAAAAAACTGATGTTAAAAAAAAAAAAATGAAAAAAAATTATAATGTTAATTTTTTTTTTTTTTTCAAAATTTACACTCACACACACCTCTTTGTTTTTGAACGTTGAATTCCTGAGTAGACGATAGTGAACATTGTTCTTGAACACCCATTGCACTCGATTTTGGATCCCTTCGAGGAAAATATATTTTTATAAATAACAAATTATTAATTTTTAATTTTAAAAATCAATTATTCATTTAATTTTAATTAATTAAGCATATTAAATATTGCTTTACTGTTGATTTTTTTTTGTCACTTGGTGTTTCATCGAGTGTGAGAATTTTTAAATTAAATCAAACGAATTATGTACATGAAAAAGATGATGAAAGGGTAATTAATGAACAAACAAAAAAATGAATGCAATTGATATGAAAATTTTCTTTGAAGCTAGGAAACAAGATTTATAATTTTATTATGATTATTATTATTATTCTATCCATTTTTGAAATTATATTGATTATTTGTTATTATTATTATTATTAAATATTTTTTTAGTAATTTGTAAATTCATTAATTTCATTAATTCTTTAATGAAAGAATAATTTTTAGACAAAATTTCTAGTATAAATTTAGTGAAAAAAATTTTGAAATATAAATTTTCTAGTGCCTTTTTTCATAATAGTTTTTTTGAAATCTAATTTTTAAAAATGAATTTAATTTAGATTTTTGAAGAAAAATTTCAAGATAAAATCAGTCAATTTTTCATTTTAAACAAATTTACAAAATGTATATTCTAAAAATTAATTCAATTGAAATATTATAAGATTGATGCAAATATTTAAAAGAATCTAACAGAAAAATTAAAATTTTCAAATTATTGCTTTCGAAAAACAAAAAATTTTTCTTTAATATTATTCAATCAATTAATTGAAATTATATTCAATTAAATAATTGAAATTATCTTTAAATAATTAATAAAATAATTAAAAAATAATTGGAATTATCGTTCAAATTTTCAGTTTTAAACAAATTCACAAAATTCTAAGATCAATTCATAGAATAATGTTTTGAGTTTTGTAATTAATCATTAAATTTTTTTATTAATATTTCTTCAGAGTATTTTATCTTTATAAAGTTAACAGGAAAGAATATAAAAAAAAAATTTGAAAATTTTCCTTTCTTTAAATTTCATTTCTTTAAATAAAAATTTAATATCTTCCATCGCAAAAAGTAAAACTTGTAGTATAAATCCAAGACTCGTTTTTTTTTTTTTTTGCCAAGGCTTGGTATTTTCACTTTTAATATAATGATTGTGCAATATGTGCTTTAATTCAACGCGCTATATGCATGACTTTCATTTAATACCTTTTAATTTATATAATAAAAATTATTAAATTGTATCACTTCAGTGCGAAGAGTAAAAAATTGCAATATAACGAAATTAATATTGTCAAACTAAAAACAAAAAAATTTCAAAAAATCGAAAAAAAAAATTCAAAAACAAATTTTCCAATAAAATACTTTCTCAATTATAATTACAATTTATAATAATTTTACATGTTAAAAAAATTTCAATTATCCAACTAAAATTAATAATTTAAAATTTTCATTGAAAATTCAAGTTGTAAATTTTTTTTAGAGCCGTAATTTAAATTAAAAATTTTTCTCAATATATATTGTACATTTTCTAATGAATATTTTTTATTCAAGAATTTTCAATTTCCAAAGGATGAGTTTTCTCTAAGCATTTAGTTAAGCGTTTAATTACATTCATCGAGAGGACGAAGAACTTTTCCTATTCGCATGGTTAATTTATACCTCAATTGAATAGAAACCTGAAACGCTATAAAAAAAAATTCCCCGAGAAAAAAAAATACAGAACAAAAGAAATTGCAAAGAAATTAGTTGAGTAAAAGCGAATTTTTTTTTGTGCTTATTAAAATAATAAAAAATAAGATAAATTTAATCAAATCTCACACACGATGAATTTTTTTTTTGTTTTTTCTTCTTTGCATATAATTATTATTTATTTTCACCTTATCACATCGGATTTAAAGCACACTACGGTTCTTCTCGCGAGTCCCTGACCGATGGAGAATGTGTACAAAATATTTGGATACCGATCTTGCACAAGTTGATGTATAAGAAATCGTCTATAGTTGTTCACCGGCGGAAACACCAGCACTCTGAAAGTGAAAAGAGTGTGATCTGATCGCGACTGAAAGTAAAACCAAACTGTAAGTATAGTAAGCAAAAGAAGAGAGGTGAATGTAACTTGTGTGAAGCTTCGTCACAATCGCAAATATCCCACCAGTTTATAATGTACTAAACATTGGCTAGCTTTTACATAACATTATAATACTTTCACTTTCATCGTCTTCCTCATGGTTCTTTCTTTGTTTCGCCACCACCAAAAAAAAAAAATTTGCCAAAAGCCTCTCTTTTTTTAACCACTTATTCAAATTAATTTACAAAAAAAAAAAAAAATATCGGTTGACTTTACGTTTATCGTCAACGATTTAGAAGAAAAAATATTTTTCTATGCAAATTATTTTAATAGGTATTTTGTCAAAAAAAATTTTTTTTTTTAACGTTTCTCGATCATAGGCCTCAAAGACTTTTCGACATTAAAAATTTCGTACTTTATATGTAACAAAATAGAAAAAATGACCAATTTACGTTCAAAAATTTTTTTTGCTTTTATTATTATAAATTGTTGATTTTAAATCTGTAAATGAAACAATATAATTAAAAGTTTTAAAAGAGTAAAAATTACGATTAATATAAAAGAAAAAATAAGCTTAAAATAATTTTTGAAACTTTATTTTTGAATTAGACGTTTTTTTTTAAATTTTGTATGGGTTTATGAGAATTTTTTTCTGATTCAACATTTTTTTTTTTTTAAATTATTTTATTCAACAATTTTCTATAAATTGACCTTTTTTAGGCAACTTTTTTAAAAAATGACTATAAATTTTTTATTATTTATATTTAGAATATTTCAGAATTTAACTTACAACAGTTTACAGATTTTTGGAAAAAATTTTTTAATTTTATTATGATTTTTTTTTTTTTATTAAAAGTTTTTCGAAACTCATTTATGGAAATTATTGCATTTTATTCAAATATAATAATTCAAAATATTTTCTACTGCAAAAAATTTTATTATTATATAATTAATTTATTATTTTCCAAATGCAAAATATAGTTTTTTTTTCAATCAACAGGCATCGAATCAACTTTCAGACACAAAAAAGTCATTTTAGTCGATTTATATTTAAAAAAAAGGCGAAAAAGTCGATTTTTTTTATAACAAAATTTAATTGGTTAATGAATATTTTACTTTAAATAATTAATGTTGTTATATATTAAAATCATTTTATTAATTCTGTAATGAGAATAATTCTATTTGAATATTATCAAGAATTATTGTATGATAAATTTTCAAAAATTTTATTTAAGTAGGACAAATTTCTAAAAAAAATTCTTAAAGTTCCATTTTTATAATTTTTTTGATGTCTGATTTAGGCAATTTATTAGAATTAAAAATTTTGTCATAGTTTTTAGTTTTGATGGTCAAAAAAAAATTCAGACAATACTTAATCAAGTTTTACAGATTTTTAAATAAAATGTTTTTTAAATAATAATTTTGAAATTTGTGAAATTAATTGAATTTCAAAAGATTTTGTTAATTTTCAGATAATAATTAAATTTTACAGAACTAAAAATAATTTATCAAATAATTTTAGATAACATTTTTTAAAAGCAATTGAATTTTCAAAGATTTACAATTTTGATTTTTGAAATTAATTGAACTTCAAGTGATTTTTAATTAAAATTTTTTGATAATTTTTGTCACTAAAAAATTTATTAGAAATTGCAGACAAAAATACAACAATTTAAAAATTTTTTAATCGAAAAATGGTTTCAGATAGTTGAATTTTCGAAGAATATTATAAAAATCATTAGAAATAATTAAATTTCAGGAGAGTTATAATTGAAATTATTAAATTTCAAAAAATTTTAGAAAGAATTAAATTTTAACTTTTAAATTGAAATTTTTGAAAATAATTAAATTTTAAAAGATTGTGTTAAATTTCAGACAATAATTAATAAGAGAAATTTTTAGTGATTTTTGTTGCTGAAAAATTTAATAGAAGTCACATAAAAAAATTAAATTCCAAAAGTTTTTAATTGAAAAATTGCTTTCAGATAATTGAATTTTCGAAAAATATTATAAAAATCATTAAAAATAATTAAAATTTTTGCAAATAATTAAATTTCAAGTGAATTTTAATTAAAAATGGTTGGTAATTTTATTTGCTAATTTTTTTGAAATTATAATACAATTATTAAATTTCATAAAAATTTTAATTGAAAAATAGTTTAAGATATTTGAATTTGTGAAGAATTTCATTATAATTATTAAAAATAATTAATTTAGTGAAGAATTTTAGTTAAAAATTGATTAAATAATTGAAATAAAGAAAATCTGAAAAAGATATGCATTCTATACTAAAAAAAAACGTATTTTGTTTAAAAATTTTGTAAAAAAATGTAAAAAAAAAGTCGCATTTTATTAAAATAAGTCGAAAAAAGTTGGAAAAAGTTGTATAATCCGAGGCCTGATCATTGATCATAAACGTTGTAAATTTTACTAACGTAAAAAATAAAATTTTTCCCAATGTTGAAGTTTACAACGTTCATAATCAACAATTTTAAAAAAAAAAAGAAAAAAAAAAAATTCTCTGAATTTTTGTCTCAAAGATATTTTTTGCAATCTTCATTGATCAAAAATTTATTTAAAAATATTTTTTTTCTTTGAAAACAAATTTTACAATTTTCCCTTTATTGAAAAATAATTTGTTTTCTAATCGTCGAACATAAACGTAGTGGAATTCAGTAACATAATTTTTTCACATTTTTTGTCAAAAAAAAAAAAAAAATTTATTTATTTACAACACAAGAATAATATTGAATATTATTAATATTATACTGTGAATATTTTTAATATTAATAATTTAATAATATTAATTTTAATAATTTAATATTATAAATATAATATTTGATTTTGTAAATAAACAATTATTTAAAAAAAAAAATACTATTTTGTTCATTTATATATGAAAAATAAAGAAAGGAGTCAACTCTGAAGAACTCAAGACTCGCGACTTGAATTTCAAGTTTATACAATTAGCAGCACTATAATTATAGAAGAAAAATTTATTAAACTTGTATTTCAACTGTTAAAAGAGTGAAATTAACTCGGTAGAAATGTGAATTACTTTTGTCGTTTCCTTACTTCAAGAGTTTATATATATAGATTATACAATCGTGAAATTACTATATTAAGCTATAAATTATAAGTTAAGTGCGTTAATAATTATCTAGAGTATGGAGTTCATAATCTCGTGTTATTAGATAAGATTCAGATTAAATCTAATTTGCTTATGAATTAATTGCTTGTGTAATAGTTAATATTGTTATATGCATATATATAATATAGTTACCAAAGTGAGGTCAAAATTATTCGTTCGTTCAACTCTGGTTAACTAAGAGTATAATTGTTGCAGAATGTAAATTCTTATTCACAGATGCGAAATCTTCCTTATATCTTTATATGAATCAAACAAATATAATATTTTATAAAAATTTTTACAATTTAATAAATTTTACAAAATTTTACAATTTTTAAATTCAACAAATTTTACAAAAAAAAATTCTACACAAAATTATTTATTTACAAGCATTGCTCGTATAATTAATTAAATAAATAAACAATTTTCAAAAAAGTACTAAAGAAAAAAAAAAGAAATAAATAATATTTAAAAAAAAAACTATTGCAAATAATCATTTACACTAGACGTAAATTCATGCGAGCCAAAGGTTACATAAATTATAGAAAAATAATCAAATTAGCAAATTATTGATTTTATGTCAATTGATAAAAACCCTAGAACTACATATATATATGTAAGTTTAGAAATTAGAGCAAGATTTAGTTACGGTTCGATAACAAAGAAGTATTTCTTTATAGTTTTTTTTTTGTTGTCTTTAAAAATAAGTCAAATACGCGTTAGCGTCTCTCTAGCACAATAATGAAAGGCAGAAAAATATATAATTTTTGTTGTTTTTAAATAATGTCGCACGAATGAAAAATTTCAATAAAAAAATAATAATGAAATGAATCAAAATTTTAAGGTTACGTCAAATGAACATGCAATGTATATATATATATATAACAAAAAATATGATGAAAGATACCTTTTTCGTGTTTCGTCCTTGGAGAAAACAATTAAATCATTCTCCACATCATCCGAGAAGTAACTATCTTGTAAACTCATTTATATATTGATAACAATTTCTTGTCAAATGTACACAGAAAATGCAATAAATGTTGGAATTCCATCCATTTGGAACGATGTTATTTTTGCATATTATATCGGTACGTGTACATTATATCATAATATAATGATCATAATACATGTGTGGGTGTATGTAAAATATATACACAACTGTTATATGAAACCGATGAAAGCAGTGTTACCACACAAACGGTATAATAATTCTTGTGTTTATCAAAATAATTTTTCTCTTCTTTAATAGATTTCGTTTGCTTTATTTTCATAAATAGTCTAAAAGATTTGAATTATAATAATATTTCCAATTTTCTCTTATAATACAATAAAAGGAATATACAAAATTCCTTACTTTTTTCAATAATAATATATTTATTTATTTAAATTTCCCACGTAGAAAATTTTTTTTTACTATTGGTATCAGTGCTTATAGGGGAAAAAAACATAACTAGACACACATAAAACTAAAAATCTCTATACATATATTTCACTAGCGTTTATAATTAATTTACAGGTTATGTCGGGAATTTTATGATTGTCAAAAATCATGTAAAATTCACAACATAGCATTGTAAAAACAGTTTTTAAGTAGTATTTACCTTAAAAGATATTATAATTCATTAATAAGTAATTAGTAAATGATTTTTAATTTATATTAAATGGCTGATAGTGAGTTATAAAAAAATATATATAACCTCAAAATTCGACAATTTGGATTTTGAATTTTTTATTATTTTTTATATAAAAGGTGTATTAAATTTGTTGAAAATTTAGATAGAATTATAAACGGTAATTTTAATTACTCTAATCAATGAAAATTTACGTAAATATGTTAATAAAACAAAAGAATAATTTTTTTTTTTTATAGAACAACAATGTCATCCTCGTCACCTAATAATTCGAAAGATAATAGCAATGATAATGAAGATATTAGATTTTTGCAAGATATTATGGTCTTTTCAGACTCAAGTAGTTCAAATTCAACATCTAGTAGCGAAGGTGAAGATTCTCATCGTTTAAAAGTTCTTTGTGTTGGCTTATGTCGCACAGATATTATTCAAGTTTGTAAAGGATTTCCAAAAGAATGTTCCGAATTAGAGTGAGTTTGTTTTTTTTTAATTACTTCATAATTGTTCTTTAATTTTAATAATTAAAGAATTTGAGTTCAATTTTTTGTTCTGTTTATAAGAGCATATCTCTGGAACATTTAAAACATTTTACTTTTTTTTAAACTAAATTTTTTTTCCGAAGTACAGTATTGAAACTGTATGCATATAAACTTCAAGTAATAAAACTTTTTCATTTTACAAGTGGACAGATAAAATATTTCGTCTTCAAATAGTTATTAATTATTTAAATATTATTAAATAATTATTAGGATTATTAAATTATTATTTAAATAATTATTTAAATAAAATTTCAAATTTAATTCGATTCAAATGTTCAGTGATACAAATTTCAATAAAATCTAAATTTTTATTTTTATTTACCTCATTTTTTATTTCAATTTTCAATCATAATTCTAAATTTTATTATTCAAAATAAATTAATTAATTACAATTTTAATTAAATGGGAATTTAATCGATTGAAACTTAAAATTAATAAAAATTTAATTTAGCTAAAGATTAATCAATTTTAGTTTAAAATTATCAGAATTTTAATTTATTCAAATTTAAATTGACTTAACTTTCAAATTATCTGAATTTTAGTTTTTTTAAATTTCAATTTATTTATGTTTTAAATTATTTTTCTGAATTTTAATTAATTTAAGTTTCAAGTTATTCGAATTTCAGTTTGTTCACATTTTAATTGATTTTAATTTCCAAATTTTCCAAATTTTAATGAATTTAAGTTTCAAATTATCCGAATTTCAGTTTATCCATATTCAGGTCTCGGATTAATACGACTTTTTCCGACTTTTTTTTACATTTTTTTTTTTACAAAATTTTTAAACAAAATACGTTTCTTTTAGCATACAATGTAGATCTTCTATATTTTAATTATTTAACAAATTTTTAACAAAATAGTATTTTTTTAATAATAATTGTTTATTTACAAAATCAAATATTAAATTTATAATATTAAATTATTAAAATTAATATTATTAAATTGTTAATATTAAAAATATTCACATTATAATATTAATAATATTCAATATTATTATAATTACGTCTTGTGTTGTAAATAAATAAATTTTTTTTTTGCCAAAAAATGTGAAAAAATTATGTTACTGAATTCCACAACGTTTATGTTCGACGATTAGAAAACAAATTATTTTTCAATAAGGGAAAATTGTAAAATTTTTTTTCGAAAAAAACAATATTTTTTCATAAATTTTTGATCAATGAAGATTGCAAAAAATATCTTTGAGACGAAAATTCAGAGAATTTTTTTTTCTTTTTTTTTAAAAAAAAATCGTTGATTATGAACGTTGTAAACTTCAACATTGTGAAAAATTTTATTTTTTACTTAGTAAAATTTACAACGTTTATGATCAATGATCAGGCCTCGGATTATACGACTTTTTTCGACTTTTTTCGACTTATTTTAATAAAATGCGACTTTTTTTTACATTTTTTTACAAAATTTTTAAACAAAATACGTTTTTTTTAGTATAGAATGCATATCTTCTTCAGATTTTCTTTATTTCAATTATTTAATCAATTTTTAACTAAAATTCTTCACTAAATTAATTATTTTTAATAATTTTAATGAAATTCTTCACAAATTCAATTATCTTAAACTATTTTTCAATTAAAATTTTTATGAAATTTAATAATTGTATTATAATTTCAAAAAAAATTAGCAAATAAAATTACCAACCATTTTTAATTAAAATTCACTTGAAATTTAATTATTTGCAAAATTTTCAATTCTTTTTAATGATTTTTATAATATTCTTCGAAAATTCAATTATCTGAAAGCAATTTTTCAATTAGAAACTTTTGGAATTTAATTTTTGTATGTGACTTCTAATAAATTTTTCAGCAACAAAAATCACTAAAAATTTCTCTTATTAATTATTGTCTGAAATTTAACACAATCTTTTAAAATTTAATTATTTTCAAAAATTTTAATTTAAAAGTTAAAATTTAATTCTTTCTAAAATTTTTTGAAATTTAATAATTTTAATTCTAACTCTCCTGAAATTTAATTATTTTTAATAATTTTTTTAATATTCTTCGAAAATTCAACTATCTGAAACCATTTTTCAATTAAAAAGTTTTCAAATTATTGTATTTTTGTCTGCAATTTATAATATATTTTTTAGTGACAAAAATCATTAAAAATATTTTAATAAAAAATCACTTGAAGTTCAATTAATTTCAAAAATCAAAATTGTAAATCTTTGAAAATTCAATTGCTTTTAAAAAATGTTATCTAAAATTATTTGATAAATTATTTTTAGTTATGTAAAATTTAATTATTATCTGAAAATTAACAAAATCTTTTGAAATTCAATTATTTTCACAAATTTCAACTTTAACTCTTCCAAAATTATTATTTTAAAAAAATTTTATTTAAAAATCTATAAAACTTGATTAAGTATTGTCTGAATTTCTTTTCACCATCAAAACTAATAACTATGACAAAATTTTATTCTAATAAATTGCCTAAATCAGACATCAAAAAAATTATAAAAATGGAACTTTAAGAATTTTTTTTAGAAATTTGTCCTACTTAAATAAAAATTTTTATAGAATTATTCTCATTACAGAATTAATAATATGAATTTAATATCTAATAACATTAGTTATTTTAAGTAAAATATTTATTAACCAATTAAATTTTGTTAAAATAAAAAAATCGACTATTTCGACTTTTTGTGTAATATAAATCGACTAAAATGACTTTTTTTTTATGACGCTGAAGTTACCAACGTTGATTCGAAGAATCAACAAACGAATTTTTCGTTTTCAGATTAGTTTAAAGGTCAAGAACCAATTTTTTTATATTGAAACTTCTTTATTTTGGTCCCGAATACATTCTTAAACACTAAAAATCCTCAATTAAGGCGGGGTAATATTTAATCTTAGGAAAAAAAAATTCTTTTCGTCGATTCAACGTTGGTAACTTCAGTGTCATTTTTTTTGTACCTTAAAGTCGATACGAGGCCTACATATTTTAATTGATTTAAGTTTTAAATTATTAGTTATTTTGTATGTTATTATTATAGTTATTAATTTAATAAAAATTTTAAATTCACAAAGAAAATTGAAATTGTTGAAAATTGCATATGTAAAGTGAAATAATTCTATATCTATATGTATAATAAATGTACATAAAATGAAATTGAAACTGGCACCAAGTTTCACCTTGGTCACTAAAAAACCAAATAAAAATTTATTAAAATTAACATAATATATATCAGAGGGACAAAAAAAGATAAAAGTTTCCATAGAGATATGCCTATAAATAAAAATGAAATTAATTAAGATTGTAATTTTATTACAGGAGTGTTGATATAAGATGGGAAAGAGGAGGCAATGCATCAAATACATGCACTGTTCTAGCTCAATTCGATACTCCAGTCGAATTTTTAGGTACACTATCTAATCAACATTCCGGATTAAAAAGTTTAATACAAGATATGGATGAACATAAAATTCGTCACGATCATTGTCCCATTAAGCCAAACACAACTTGTCCCACTTCGTCTATTGTAATTAATTCAAATAATTTAACACGCACAAGATGGAATTATAATCCTGATCTACCTGAATTAAATGCATCTGAATTCAAAGCACTTCGTTTAGAAGATTACAGTTGGATACATTTCGAAGTAATTTTTCAATTTTATTTCATTTCCAAAAACACTTTTGAAATAATTCAATGAAAATAACAAAATTACAGAAAAATATTTGCCTTTTGTAAAAAAAAAAATAATTTTATTTTACAGGGACGAAATGTGGACAATGTTTTGGAAATGATGCAAATAATACACAAACGTAATGTATTAATAAGATCGAAAGGATTTAGAACACCATATTATCCTATTGTTATTAGTCTTGAATTAAATAAAAATCGTGAAGGAATATTTAAATTGCTTCCATATGTGGATGTGATATTTGTAGGGGAAAATTTTATGACTCCAGATCAATCGAAAAATATGACAAAAACATTGGAGTACGTTTGTCAAGCTCATCAAAAGCCAGGGTAATTAATATAATTTTTTTTTATATTTTTAATTTTACAGAATTATTATTATTATTATTAAATGACAATTTGTTGAAATTAATTTTCTTAAATTCTTTATTGAATTTTTATTATTTTATTTCACTATAATTTGAATACAATGAAAATTTTAGAAAATATAAATTACATGGATGATTCGTCAATAATTTTTTTTTTTTTTTTAATTTAATATTATTATTATTACTAATTATTCTAAATTTGATCTAAGATCTGATTCTATTAGATTTGAATAATTTGAAAAGAAATTTTAATATTTTCAACGTCGATAAAGTTCACAACGTTTATGATCAACGATTAAAAAAAAATATATTTTTTCACTAAAAATAAAAAAAAATAATAACTAAATTTTTGCATAGAAATTTTCTTTCAAAAAATATTATTAATTAAAAAATATTGCAAAAAAATTGTTTAAGATCAAAAATAATAATAATTTGCATAGAAAAATATTTGTTCCTCTCAATCGTTTATCATAAACGTTGTGAACTTCACCGACGTTATTTTCACTCTGTTTTTTTATTATTTTTTGTAATTTTTGGTTTTACATATAAAAATTTAAGTTTTTCACTAATATTTTTTTTATGAATAATTTGATTTCTCTTTCTTTCTTTTTAGGGTAATAATAGTATGTTCACGTGATGAACGAGGAGCATTAGGTCGTGCTCCAAATGGAGAATTTACTCAATGTCCAGCGCAACAATCGACAAAAATTGTTGACATATACGGCACAAGTGACACATTTAATGCAGCAATGATTTATTTTCTCAATCAAGAAAATATAAGCCATCGAAATGGTTGGAGAAAAATAAGTATGGTGCCAGTTGATTTCGATAAAGAAAGTCCATTGGAATTTATTTGTCCCGATATATTGTATCAGGCACTTGTTTTTGCATGTCGTGCGTCAGGTGCCAAAATGGGATTCAAAGGTTTCGCTCCATTGAGAAATGTTTACAAGGGTCTCACAGTTCATCAAGAAATAAAATTGTGATAATTTTTCAGCCCCGAGGTTATAAAGGTGACAAAGAGGAAAATTTCTTTTTCTTTTGTTTTTTTTTTTAAACGGTAAGAATGCTTCATTTTTTATTATTTCACATTTTTTATCTTTTTTTTTAATATAACCTCGGAGAAAGTGTATAGCAAAATGATAATTGCAAAGTACTGATGAAATCAAAGATCATGAGAGATAAAAGAATGATAATAGTATTATATTGACATATATATAAATATATATATATATATAGGTGATTCAATTTTTATATTATTGACTTAACAAGACATTATAAACAAAGTTCAATGATTGATCATTGATAGTTTGCAATTATGTACAATGCATTTTTGATATTGATTTTTTTTTATATATATATATAGTATAAAAACATTTATAGTCCGCTAACTAAGTCAATGCCTTTATATTGAATAGCTTTTTATTTAATTTTGAATACAACGCTTTTTTTTTTGTAAAACTTTTTTAATACAAGTAGATTTGTACAATATATATTTTTTTACGATAAACTCTCGCGTCTTCGTTTAAAATGATTTCCGAGCGAGCAAAACTCAAGTGATTTTATATTCGCATTTTATGAGTCGAATATAAAATGACTATTTTGTACAAATGAAATCTTCACGTCTTTTGAATACTATGTATTCTAATTTTATAAGCCGACTGAATGTGAATGTCCTAAGAAGAAAAAAAAAAAAAAAAAAAAAGAAACATTGTCCAAAAAGTCGTTTCTTAAAATTGGATATCTAAAAATAAAACGTAAATTTTTTTTATTCTTAATTTTCTAATAAAAAATATATCTGTAAAAAAAAAAAAAAAACTTTTTAGGACACTTTAGATTTGTTTTGTAAAAATAAGGTAAAAATGAAAATAATTTCCTAAATGATAGACGAAAAATAATAAAAGAATACTCTTTCAATGATTTGAATTCGTTTTTTTTATTATTGCTTGAATTATTTAACATTCTATTTTTATTTAACTATTTTTGAAGTGCCTATTGCAAAATATAAAAATTTTTTGAATGAATAATAAAAATCACAAGTAAGAATACAACTCCTGCGGTCTTTAAACTTTAAATATAATAATCTAAATTATTAAATTATCTTAAAATAGTATCATTCTTTTACATTTAAAGCATTTTTTTGTGTACACTATTTTGAATATTTTACACAAAAAAGAAAAATTGAAAAAAAACAAATTTTATTTAACACATTTTTTTGATATTTTTAAAATTAAAATATTTTGAAGAAAAAAATTGCATTAAAAAAGTATAAAACTTTTCCAATGAACACTCATTCAGTCATTCATCGTAGTTTTTTTTTTTTTTTCAATAGCGATTATACTAAGGAAAAATATTTTTTTTACACAGCTTTTTTTTTATATTTATAATAATATAATATTGTGCAAAGTCGATATGTTTTATAGAAAATGGTTAAACTTTAATTTAACGTATTCTATTTGTTTCTATATCAAACATTAATTTTTTATTATTGCTTTTAATTAATCTTCAAACGCATACGGAGAAAAACACATTATGTACAAGTGGTCAACATTCAATAGTAAATTAACTTTGCTTAGGGACTATTTTTTTTCGAAATTATTAATATTATTCTATAATAATATATTATCAGTCTGCTTCAAGGCCACTGTCTACAAAATCCATTATTTGAAATGCCGCTTTATATGGTAGACACCTGGTAAAAAAAAAGTTGCATTTTTTAGTTTTTTATAGTTTATTAATTCGACGCGAAGCATAAAAAACATTTAAATATTTTTAATTCATTTAATTTTTAAATGCTCATGCATCAATTTTTTAATTTTTCTTTTTTTTTTAAATTCTGTGTTTTTACATAAACTTTTCGAAAATTCGATGCAAAAATTCTAGAAAAATAATTAACTACATTTTTGCAATTTTAAGATTAAAATTTTATTTTTAAAACTGTTCATGTCCTTCAAATATTAATTAAAAAGCATAAAATGTTGGCACAAGGAAATAGTTTCTTTGACAATTTTTCATAAAAAAAAAATTGAAGGATACAGTTTTAAAAATAAAATTTTAATTTTTAAATAACAAAAAATAATGTTAATTATTTTTCACTCATTTTTTGCATCAAATTTTCGTAAAGTTCATGTATAAACACAAAATTTAAAAACAAAAAAAAAACCCTTAAAATTGATGCATTTTTAGGAAAGTAATGAGTATTCCGAAATTCAAAAATAAAAATTAATTAAATTATTAAATAAAATATTTAATTTTCAAAAATTGTACGTTAGTTAAGTTTTTCTAAAATTTGACAAATTTTTCTTTGCAAAAAATGATTATTATTTAACTAAATTTTACAGAATTTTCATTTTTTCAATTTATCAAAAAAATACAAACATGGCAATTGTTTTTGATGAATTTTTTTTTTTTGGAATGAATTTTACTTTTCAAATAAATTTGCATTTGACCAAAATTCTAATTTATCCAAATTTTTTTTTTTACGGATTTTTCTTTTTTTTAATTAACTAAATTGACATTATTTATTTATATTATTGTATTGCTTTTCATTTGATTAAATTTCCATTTACTCGTTTTTGCAAAAATAAACAAATATTTTTAATAATAATGTATAGAATAAATGTAAACAAACCTAACAACAGTATTAACTGTAAACCAATAATTAGGAATAGTTGCTTCCAATTCGTTTCGTCTTTGTGCAGTAATTATTTGATTAGCAGCTTCCTTCGGCTGAACCAACGCCAAAAGATTGGGGAACCTAAAACGAGAGCAATTTTTTATTTAGAAAGTCAAAAAATATTTCAATAAATTAAAAAAATATGATTTTTTATCAAGTGAGATAATTTGCCCACCTTTGATCCAAGATTCTAGTCTGCTTGTAAATAAATATCATTCATAAATAAGTGTTGACTATATTAATTTTAATTATGTTTTTTTTTTTTTAGATAATCAATAATCGGGAAAGAATTTAAACAAAAATTTGTATTCCATTCTCTCATTGATTATACAGAAAAGACTTTCAAAAGGAATAACAAAATTTTTATACAAATTGAAGTCGTTATAATTTTTTTTTTTTAGAAAACTTGTAATACAAAAAATTCATTATTCAAAAGAACTGCAATTATTTCAATCAACTTAATTACATTTAATTGATTTATATTTAAATCAAAAAGTTGTCTACATTAAAATGTTTTATAAACATTTTTTTTTATAAAAATATAAAAAATTTTTCTTTATTTTTATTATTAAATTTATATTTTAAATATTTATTAAAGAGCAAATAATTTAGAAATTAACTTTTAAAAAATATGACGTAAGTAAGAAAAAATTTGATTTAAATAAAAAAAATCGGATTTTTTTTTAATCATGATTTTTATTAGTTATGTTATTCAAATGAAAGAAATAAATAAAAAAAATTTTAAAATTTAAATTTTTTTTAAAAAGATCCAATTGATTTTTAAGTAATAGGTACTTAAAAAAATCAAAAAAATATTACCTCGTTCTTGGTTTTTTGCAAAGACCTGTGTCTACCATGTAAGGATAAATAGTCGTGAATTTGATATTTGTCATTTTGTTTGGACTAGCTTGACGTATTTCTTCACTAATAGACTCCATGATTCCTAGAGCAAAAAAAAACACAATTTAATTAAATTAATTTTTAATTATTATTTATTGAAAATAAATGAGTTAGAAAAAAACCCTTGGAAATTTAAAACACAAGCTAAATTTAATAAATGATTTACAGTTAATTATCATCTCCAAGATATATAATGTTTAATTACAAATTGAAATATTAAAAAAAAGAAAAATAGATTTTTTGTTATCAGAAAAAAGATTATTAATGAAACAACATAAGATCAAGTTTTTACCTCTGACTGCGAATTTTGTTGCGCAATAGGGCACAAGATTAGGAAGACCAACAATTCCCGCCATTGATGATAATGCCACCACGTGACCATGATCTTTCTCAATCATACTCGGCAAGAAGGCTTGCAGCATCTGATAAAAGATTCATTTGAATTTTATTTCTCAATTAACATATAATTAACACTTTTTGCTATTTTAAATATGTACCTACACAGTTTTTTTTTTTTATTGCCATTTTATCTATGAGATTAGTTTTTTATTTTTCTGACTACATAAGTAATGAAAAAAAATTTTCATAATTAGATATTTTAATATATCTTTAATTAAATTTTTTTTCAAACCAAAAAAATTTATAACAAAAAAATATTTAGCTCTTTTATTTATAATTTAAATAAAAATTAAATTTAATTCTAATAAATTATTTCTTTGAGAGCAAAATTATTAATATTTTGAAAATAACAATTTTTTTTGAAATTTACCCAAAAATGAGCCATGAGATTGACATCGACTGTCTTTTTAATTTCTTCCTGAGTATGCGTGAGAAATGAATGGCAAGGCATTATTCCTGCATTATTTATAAGAATTGTTACATTACCAACTTCCTCTTTTACTTTTTCCGCAGTTTGTAAAACTTCCTCCCTATTCGATACATCGCATCTAAAATATTTAAATGTAAATTAGAAAAATAATTTCAAAACTTTTTGTTTTGCAATTACTATTACTATTCGATTTTAATTAATTAAAATTATAATTAAAATTATTATTAATTATTAGATTTTAATAATTAAATTTTAAAATAAAATAAAATGCTTATTTAATATAACAAACTAACTAAAAACACTGAAAAAAAATTTATTTGAGTCAATTAATTCGTATTTGTTACAAATATAGAAATTATTGATTCAAATACAATTTATTATTAATACAAATAAAAATTATTTGATTCAAGTAAATATTTATTTGATAATAGTCATAAGTAACCGATTATTTGAATAAAATACTGATTTTTTTTTATTTGCAAAATTTATTGACATATTTGGCCAATTTGGAATAATTTATTTTACGAATTTAAGAGAAAAAAATGAAATTATAAAAACTTGATTAATCCGATAAAAATTAAAAAATTTTTGAAATTTACGTACTTATAAGCGTATGCTCTTGCAGCTCCTTGTTTTTTAATTTCATTTGTTGTTTCTTCATTTCCTTGTTCATTTATGTCCCAGCAAACAACAGTTGCTCCTAAACTGGCATATCTCAGTGCCAATTCTTTTCCAATTCCATGACCAGCTCCAGTTACCTTTTTACAAGAAAAAAAAAATATATATTTTTTAGTAGCAGAAAAAAATTCTACATAATTTACAATATTTTCATTAAATTTATTTAAATTTATTTTCATTAAAATAAATATTTGTCGAATAAAATTAAAATTTTAATTAAATAAATATTATTTACAAATTTAATTAAAATAATTATATTTTTATTATTTCAGGCCTCGGATTATACGACTTTTTCTCGACTTTTTTTTTTCATTTTTTTGATACAATTTTTAAACAAAATACGACTTTTTTTAGTATAGCAGATCTTCAAATCTTCTTTATTTCAATTATTTAACAAATTTTTTAACAAAAATTTTTCTCAAAATTAATTATTAATTAATAATTTTAATGAAATTCTTCACAAATTTAATTATCTTAAATTATTTTTCAATTAAAAATTTTATGAAATTCAACAATTGTTTACAATTTCAAAAAAAAAAAATCAAATAAAATTACCAAAAATTTCAATTTAAAATACATTATGTATATATAGCGGAAACTTCCTGCAACGAAATGTAAATTTCTTATACGCAGAATATATTATTATTATTAATAATAAGAGTAAATTTTAATTTTTACTATTTTTAAAATATAAATTAACAAATTATTTTATAAATATTTCCTTTTTTACTACTATTAAATAATGATAATAATAATGGTAATAATAATAATAATAATAATAATAATAATAATAATAATAATAATAATAATAATAAAAGTAAATTTCAAAAAAAAATTTTTTTTTTTATAAATCTTCCGAAATTCAATTATTTTTAATGATTTTTATAATATTCCTCAAAAATTTAATTATTTGAAAGGATTTTTCAATTAAAAACTTTTGAAATTCAATTTTTGTCTCTCTAATTTCTTATAAATTCTTTATCAACAGAAATTACCAAAAAAAATTCAATTAAAAATCACTTGAAATTCAATTAATTTCAAAAAACTGAATTGTTAATTTTTCAAAATTCAATTACTTTAAAAAAATATTATATAAAATTATTTGATAAATTATTTTCAATTCTGTAAAATTTAATTATTGTTTGAAATTTAACAAATTTTTTTGAAATTTAATTATTTCCAAAAAATTTCAACTAATAACTCTTTCAAAGTTCAAATTTTTTTTTTAATGATTTTAATATTTCTTTAAAAAATCAATTATTTCAAAAAAGTTTCAAATAAAAACTATAAAATTGAATTATCAGAATTTTTTTTTTTTTGAAATTTTGTCCTAATTAAAATTTCAAAAATTTACGTCTGCGATTCGAAAATATTTAAAATAAATTTTCTTAATAACATTTCTATAGAATTATTCTTATTAAAGAATTAAACAAATGGATTTAATATCTAATAACATTAATTATTTAAAGTAAAATATTTATTAATTAATTAAATTTAATTAAAATAAAAAAATTTGCTTTTTTAAAATGTAAATCGACTAAAACGACTTTTTTTTGCTCCTCAATGTCGTTCTAAGACCTGTTATAGTTAATAAAATTTTTTTTTTTTAAATTAAAAAAAAAAAATTTTTTTTTAACAATAAGGTAAAAAATAGCAAATATCTATCGATCATTTTTATCTTAGTTCACAAAGTGATAAAATCATGGTTTATAATAATAAACATTAACATTGGAAATTGAAGTGAACAATATAAAAATAACGTAAAATGTAAAAAAAAAGTTCTCAGAATAGTTTTAGAATGACATATCGTATACAGTATATATATATATATGTGAATAAAATTATTATGCAAGTTGAGGTCAATGATATCAGTTACATCCCCTTCATTCTATAGATATTTTATCCATACCAGAACAATTTCTCCTGCGACGCTTTTCTCCTCCACGGGAACGAAGAATCGATAAATACTTTCAAAAAGATAAAAAATTATCTTTATTATTAACATTAAAACATCGGCTACAATCAGTACTCCTCCATATGCATTAACCATGTCTCGTTTCAAGTTTCTCCTATTAAAGAAAAAAAATATCTTTTTAATTCAAAAAAAATTATTAAATTTTACTTATTTATTACACTTTCATTTTTATTAAAATTTAAAAATGTCAATTTTTTTTTGTCATTAATTTTTTATTTCGATTATACATATTATGATTATTTTTTAACTGCTTTCCTTTATTATAAAAAAATTATATTTGAATCAATGTAATTTAAATTCAAGAAATTCTTCTCTACAGTTTTTAAATATTTAACTAAATTTTTCAACATTTTGATTTTTAATTTATATATAATATTTACAATAAAAAAAAAAAAACAATTTTGAAAAAACTTTTTTATTTTTTTATTTATAAAAATTAATCTAAAATATATATATATTTAAAAATGGGCCATTCATTTTCGAAAAAAAAAATTTATTCCTATATGTTTCTATACTGAGAAGGAATTACTAAAATTTTTGTTATTATTAGGTAAAATTTTTTATTTTTCCTGAGTTTTTGAAAAAACTTTTTTATTTTTTTATTTATAAAAATTAATCTAAAATATATACATTTAAAAATGGGCCATTCATTTTTGAAAAAAAAATTTATTCCTATGTTTCTATACTGAAAAGGAATTACTAAAATTTTTGTTATTATTAGGTAAAAATTTTTATTTTTCCTGAGTTTTTGAAAAAATTGTCAATGAAAAATAGTAAAAATTGTGAAAGAAGTTCAAATTTAAAAGAATTAACAGTGAAATTTCAATTAATAAAAATTTTTACATTATGCAGGAGTTGTCAATTTTTTTCCAACTTTTTTTTTCGAATCTAAAATCATATTATTCTATTATGGAAAATTGGAAGAAAAATAAATAATTTTTGGCTACTTTACACTTTTTTTTTTAAATTTTAGTGGAAATTTTATTTTTTGAAAACTCATACAATTGATTATTCAGAATGATGAAAAAAGTGTAAAAAATATTGTCGTTGAAGAATATTAAAAATTATGTAAGAAGTTCAAATTTCAATTTTTCCTGAATTTTAAAATTCTATTACAAAATTCCTGAATTATTAAAAAAAATTTTTTCTAAATTTTCATGACGTATCATTATTTTTAATCCTTAATAAAGTCAAAAAATAAATTGACACCCTAAAACAAAGAAAATGTCACTTAAATTTTTCAAATTTAAAAAAAATTATTTACCTATATACTCAAAATGTTTTTATGACATTGAAAATTTCCAAATTAATTATTACTGTTACTATATAAAATTATAATATTTTATACATAATCACAAACCAATAATAATTTTATTAAATAATTTGTTAGAATAAATTAATTCAAAAAATATTTTTGTTAACATTGTTTTTTTTTTAAATTAAAAAAAATTCTTTTATTGATTTTTTGAAAAATAAAAATTCTCATAAAATAAAATAAATAAAATATATAAAATTTATCCACGTCTAGTGTCAATTATCTTTTGTTATAAAAAATTTGCGAAAATACAAAATGTAAATTTTCATAACTTTGAAAGAATACGAAATAATGTAATTTTGAAATTTGAATTATTTTTGTAGACACATATGATAAAAAATATAAATATAGAATTATTTTATATTCATTTCAGAAACAACCTTGATTCATGCCCTGCTAATAAATTGCAAGTTCGAATTTCTTGTATTTTATTTTTTTTCAGAAAGAGTAAAGCTTTAAAAATTTTATGTGTATATTAAATTCAATTAGCAAAATTTTTAAATTAGGGCTAAAAAATAGGTAGTAAAAATGGGTTATAATTTTAATGGAAGTAAAATATTCTAATCCATTTTTACTCGTAGTATTTTTAATCCATTTTTATTATACCCTTAAATTATTTTCAGTCTAAAATAACATTTTTTTTAACAAATATTTTTTTTTTTTAACTCAAATTTGTCAGTGAAAAGGTTCACCTCAACATTAAGTGAAAATTCAATTAAGTTACACTTGTTTATAATTTATTATTATTTTTTTTTATTTATGGAATTTTCTCACAATGCAAAAGATAAGATAAATTATATTTTATTATCAGTAAAAGTACATAATGGTTGTGTTCACACACGCTAAATTCGTGATTTTATTTGCGAATTCTATATATAAAAAAAATTTCAAGTTCCAGCTATAATATATTTTTTCCCTTTTTCTAATTGAGAAAATTTCTAAAATTAATAAAAAAAATTTTTTTAAGTTACATAATTTTTCTAAATTATATATAATAAATTAAATTCTGGTCAAGGACAGAAAATTAAGTAAAAAAAAAAAATAATTTTTTACGGATTTTGGTTATACAATAAAAAGTACGAAATTATTTGGAAAAAAAATATGCCCTTGATATTGACAAGAATTATTTGCTATATGTGCACGGTGTACTGAATTAACATGACACTGAAAGTGAATGTCACTTTGTTAACAAGGCTATCATGAAGTCTTTCTAGTAAAAATTTCTTTTATTAGAAACAAACGAATTTCATTTTTAATAAAATTTGATATTTTATTGATTTTAATTACGTATTGTTTCGATTTTATTTAATTTTGCAAGTAAAAAATTAAAATCATTTTTTTGTTGAAATTAATAATAAGGAAACAGTGTAATTTTAACTCATCATTTACATTGTTGTCGATGAAAAATAATGAAAATTATAAAAGAAGATGAATTAAAAAAAAAATATTTTCAATTAATCAAAATTTACGTCATTTAAGGGTGAAAAATTTTTTTTGCCATTTTTTATAACCGAAAAAAACCAATATATAAATCATAGTAAAAAATTTAAAAAAAAAATGTTTTTGACAATTTTCAAATTTTTTTCATTCGATAATTTGTTGTAAATTAAAAAGAGAGATCAAAAATTTTCAAAATAAAAAAAAAGCGTGAATAAAAATTAACGATTAAAAATAATTTTATTTATTTATAAAAAATTTAAGGGCTTAAAGCCTTTCAGTACAAAGTACTTATAACAATGAATATAAAACTAAAGAACAATAAGAACATTTTTCGAATTTAAAAAAAAATTCTAAATTTCCAAAATTGAAAAAAAAACTTTTTATTAATTTAAAAAAATTTCGAAAAAATCGTTTCCCCACCAGTGAAAGCGGTTTAAAATTTTTGTAAACAAAAGTAGTTTTTTTTGAAAAATTATCAAAAAACAATCGACCGTTACAAACAAATTTTAAAAATTAAATTTTAATCTTTAAATTTACAAAAAAAATCTAATAATTTTTGTTGTTTCATTTTTTGCATCAAAAAATTCAATTCTTAAAAACACAAAATTTCAAAAATAAAAAATTAAAATTAATACATTCTGAAAAAAGTTATGTGTATTCAGAAAAAAAATTTGTGAAATTTTGAAAAATTTATTTATAGATATCTTATAAACGAATTGATAAAAAATTTCGAAAAAAAAAATAATTATGGAACCCTTTTTCGTAGAGTACAAAAAGATAAAAAAAAAACTTTTAGCCAAATTAAATTAAATTAAAAATTGAAGTACGTTTGTGTTATATATCCGTTTATTTAAAATACAATTTGATTTAAAAATTAAAAAATTTAAATATAAAAAGGTCTCAAGTGAAGAATTCCAATTTTTATTTATAGTTCCTAACATCTTAATATTTTTTTGTTTTATTTTTTTAAACATGACGTTTCATTGAGTTTTATGTATTTTGTCAACTTCATCAGTTATTTTTGTTATAAAGAAAAAAAAATTATTAGAAAACATCACAAATTTTCATAAATCAAAAATAACATTATTTTAAAAAATTTTACTACTTTGTTTAAAAAAACACGTCTAGTTTCTATTTCTTCAGCACGTGTCAAATTTTTTAAAAAAGAAAAAATATAAAATAAATTTTTTCTTCATGAATAATAAATTATAATATTTACGAGTTTAAAAAAAAAAAATTTTCTACATGAATAAATTATTAAAATATAAATTAACGAATAGAAATTAAAATTTTTTTGAAAATCTTTCATTGAGAATTGTATAAATTTTTTGTTGAAATATTTTTTGCGTTAAAATACCAATTTTTTTTCTAAAAGACGCTAATTTCTTCTAAAATTATAAATAGATTAACTCGCATATGGAATGTTGCGTAACATTAATATATTATTATATCTATATATATCTGTGTTACTATTTCGAGTTGAAAATTACACATCCCACGCATCCCATACTTTTCAGTTCTATTATACTTTAGTCTCTTATAATTTGATTATATCGTGACTTAAACATATAATTATTTTACTTCATTAATTTTTTTTTATTGCTTATAATATTTTAATACCGCGATATTCTTATTATTAACATATCAATTAATTTGTTGTTGGAATTGATAATGTAAAAGAAACATAACAAAAATTTAGATTTGAAAAAAATTTATCAAATTGTTTATTGTATTTATTTTTAGTTACTCTTATTTTGTATAAAATCACAACAAAGTAATTATTTTTTTAATGTCACTAATTAATCTTTTAGTGTAATAAAACGGGCCTTAAAATGATACAATTAAGTCAGTGATAAGATTATTGTTAAGAATAAAAATTTCTGAAAAACAATTCTAGATAAGGCAAAAAAAATATATGAAAATTTTTAATATTCGAATGATTTATTAAAAGTAGTGAAAAAAATGTCTCAAATATTTACTAATAATTAAAATAAATATAGAATACAAATATGAAAAATAATTAAAAATATAAAATAATAATAATAATAAACAAGAACAAAACAGATAAATTTTTTTTTAATTTCTAATTAGAATTAAAATTGCCATATATTCACAAAAAAAAAAAAAATGTAGAATAAAAAATGTATTTCAATAAAAATGTTGATTGAACATAAAATAATAGAAAGAAAAAATATGTCTATAAAGCGAGATTAAAAAAAAAAGAAGAAATTACTGATTTAATTAACATCAATTTTCAAAAAAAAAAAAAAAAAAAAACTGACAAATTTAATTTTGTTTTTATTTTAATTAAATTAATTAATTAAAATTTCAAAAAAAATGAAAAATGAAAAATTGATAAACAATTGAATTATAATCACTTTTATGAAGTTTTGCCGGTAAATTGGCGCGAGAAGTTCATTATTTTCAAATAATATTAAACGTTTAATCATATATCGATATCATGATTTGTTTTTATTTATTTTTATTTTTTTCTTACCAAAATACTGAATGAAATTGCAAAAAACTTTTTTCATAAACGAGCATTTAAATAAAAGGGAATCAAAAAATATGCGTAAATTTTTACAAATTATAAAATTTCCAAAATAAATTGTTATAATTTCTATAGAAATTGTTCACTCGTCACATATCAGCTATAACGAAAGTGAATGCGGGGAACAAGTTGCTGCGAGACGACTTTTACTTGAAACTTGTATTGGGCTTTTCGATTCGCACTTTTTTTTTCATTTATAATACCTATGACTATTTTATTTTATTCTATTTAAAAAAATTTTTTTTTTAATAATAGCAAAAAAAAATAACATTTTTAAATTAAATTAAATTTTTGGCAAATTTTTTTTTTTATTGAAATTAATTTGATACGAACAAACCTTTTCAAAATTATGTTATGTATATATATGTATATATAAGAGTTTCTTATATGAAATGGTGCACACTATTATTGACTTTTTAAATTATAACGCTAAACACATCAAGATCCTTCGTTGTCCGCGATCAAATCGCAACTAAAGTCCCTGTGTCTCCTCATCGTTGTATGCAGCATAAGAAGCCGATCTTTGTAATTGTATCACTGATATATGTGTATATGTACTATTGCTACCAACTCATACATATAAAAAGACTTCTGCTCTTTTGCAGCTATGAATTGATTAAAACCACCATAAATGTATATAAATATCTTCCAAATGCTATATACTTGTATAGCGATTGATACCAATTTATACTGTGAAATATGGCAAATAAAATAGATATATATATATTTGCAAATTTTCTTTCAAATTAATTTAATAAAAATTCAGTTAAATTTACGATTTCTTTTTTTGCATTGTTTTGCTATTTTTTGGGTTTTATCAAAGGGCTAATATATTATTAAAGGAAACTATTATATTACATTAATATAATTCATAACATTCAAATATTATAATTAATTACTGTATATTATTATTATTATTATTATTATTCGCGCTGAAAATTCGCAGTTTTTTCGATATACGAAAAATTTCATTTGACATTTTCCTAATTTAACCCTTACTTGTTACAGAGTAAGGTCTTTTAGACCTCAACAAAAATTTGGTATAAAATACTTTTGATTATTCCCAAGCGAGGGGGAATTTACTCAGGTAGTCAAGTGTACACTCTTCCTGTAATACTTGTGTAATAACGTGTAATACCGTGTAATAATGGGTTATTACAGTGCTGTAATAACGCAAAAAACTCTGTAATATCTCTGTAATAATGTGTAATACTCTGTAATAACGTGTAATACTTAGTAATAAGGGTAATATGAGGTGTAATACCGGTAGTCAAGTTTACATGTTTTTAACTATAGTAAATTCCCCCTCGTTCCCAAGCAAAAATTTCTGTCAAACGCCGATATTGACAACAGGCGCAATCATGCACCAATACTGGCTGGCCGACAGTTGGCTTACCAGTATTGGTTCAGTACTGATTTGGATTAAATTCTGTACTGTGCCAATACCGGCATGCCAGTATTTTCCAATACTGTGCCAGTATTATTGAGACAATAATGCCAGTATCCAGAAAAATTAGGAAAATTGACCTCCATGAAGTTGGCGTTGACGCTCAGCGCCGAAAATTAGTTTTCACAGGACCAAAAATGTCAAATTATTATTTTTTTTTTTAAGATTTTCGGTCCAAATATATAATGCCTTAAGGCCAGGTCCAAGTGAGGCAGCGCAATCTACATTGAAACTAAAATTTTGGAAAATTTTCAACAGCCTTTTCTTGAAAACAAGATGGTAAAATGCTTTTTCCTTTATGGATAATTGATTATTGGCAAGATATACACCGGCTAAAACTATATTTGAGTTAAAATAATGAAAAAAATTTCATGTCAATAAATTAAATATGAGCACTTTTTCCACAAAAACTGTAACAGTACTTTCTCAGAAATTACAATCAAAAATGCAATTTCCATTTGGAAAATTAATAAACGCTAAAAAATACACGACCTAAGATTTACCAACCACGAAAATAACAAAAAAAAATTTTATTAAATATTTAACATATTGATACTGCTTTACTGATTGTGACAGCCCTTTGGTAGATTATGTATTTCAGGTGGTTAGCAACAGCGCCAATCTCCTCCTTTCGGCAAATCTGCGAAACGTCTGGTGACATATATAACCTGCTAAACCGCTGTCATTATGAGTAAAATATGTTATGTTAAAATACTTTTTTTTTGTTATTTTCGTGATTGGTAAATCTTAGGTCGTGTATTTTTTAGCGTTTATTAATTTTCCAAATGGAAATTGCATTTTTGATTGTAATTTCTGAGAAAGTACTGTTACAGTTTTTGTGAAAAAAGTGCTCATATTTAATTTATTAACATGAAATTTTTTTTATTATTTTAACTGAAAAAAAGTTTTAGCTGGTGTATATCTTGCCAATAATCAATTTATCCATAAAGGAAAAAGCATTTTACCATCTTGTTTTCAAGAAAAGGCTGTTGAAAATTTTCCAAAATTTTAGTTTCAATGTAGATGGCGCTGCCTCACTTAGACCTGGCCTTAAGAAATACTTTTTAAGGTATTATGTGAACCCAAAACTTTTTTAAAAATGATTTGTTATTTTTGGTCCCGTGAAAAATAATTTTCGACGTTGAGCGTCAACGCCAACTTCATATAGATGTGAAAATTGTGTATTTTTGTTGGTTAGAAATTAAATTTACATACATATTTTTTTCAAATTATTTTAATACATCTTTTCGATTACTGCAATGCGTTCGTTAATGGAATTATGAAATTTAAATTTAATATTAAAACTTTTTAATAAAAAAAAATAAATAATTAATGAAGTTCTCAAATTATTTTTCTTACACTGAAAAAATATATTTGAATCAAATAAACTCTATTTTAACCAATAATTTCATTCAATTTCGGTAATTTAAACAAATACCCAACCAAAAATTTTAGTATTATACCAGAGTTCACTATTGGCGCAGAACTGGTTCAGTATTGACTGCCGAGACTGGGCAAACTTAAATTTAAAAATTTTTACCCGAAAATTTATAAACCTACAAAAAATTACGTATACTTTTTTTAATAAAGAATAAAAATTCTTGGTGTTTTCGATTTTATATAATAAAATAATAATTAGTTAGTTGACTAATTTAATTAATATTTAATTTGTCTTGGGTTACTAAAAATTTAAGACACTTTTTCCTAAGTATATACCAAAAAAGTATTACCTGGAGTGAAACTTATCTCTGTTACAGTTAAAGCTTTCTTTTCGTATACAAAAAAAATTACAAAACTGCCAGTACTCGGCCAGTACTGAACCAGCAGTGATTACCAGTACTGGTGCCAACTCTGGTAGCCAATACTGGTAAAATGTTATCATCCCAAAGTTATGATAACTCTGGCGCCAATACTGGGTGCTAGTACTGCGCCATTACTTGTCAGTAAAATAAAGAGTAAAATGTTAATATAAAAAAATAACAATTTAAAAGTAATAATAATATTAATTTATTATTATTAATAGTTAATGGTATGAGCGCGTGTAGTTCGAGCGAAGAGTCGGTTCTTCGATCCAGCTGCTCAATTAATGTAAAAAGCAAATAGAACCCTGAATTTTGAATATCTACCAGTGCTGACTTATTACTGGTTACTATAATTTTGCCCGTACTGGCAAAATACAGAATTACTGCTAAATTCCAGTATTCAACCAGTACTGAACACCAGTACTATGCTATTATTAATGACCAGTACTAATAAAAGTAGGAAAGTAAATAATATTACAACAGCTGCGACTTCGTGCTCCCAGAATGCTTCTGTCATCTGACGGCGGCAGGACGTAATGAACTTGTCATTATATTACTTTCCTACTTTTCGTTTTGCAATCTCTTTTTTCTATGGTTTCGCACAATCTTTCGGAATTTGGAAATTTATCAGATAAGAATTCTTGGTATTTTGACCGATTTTGAAAAAAGTGTCCGCGTTTCGAGAAAAAAGTATTTTAAAATCATTGTTTATCATTTTCACGTTCATTGCCGTCAAGTAACCGCTTATTTGATAAAATAAATTTTTTTTCAATGTACAAAAACGTGATTGCAAAATGAAAAATAGAAAAGTAATACATAATAATTAATTGGATTTTAAAAGGACCTTAATTTGTTTAGAATAACAGCGTTTTTTGATTTTGTGGCCTTTGGTCCAAAAAAATAAAATAATTTATTTCATATTAAAGATGTGTTTATTATTCTCCAATGTCTAATGCATTTTCGCCATATAACATGGCTCATCAGGACTACAGAAAAAACATGTGTTTCATTATAATGAATAGGACGATAACAACATTTTCAATAACAGAAAAAACAATAGACACAGAACTTACCACATTACTATTGGAATTTATAGTTAATTATACAAAATCAAAAAACGCTGTTATTCATAATAATTAATAACAGCTGCGACTTTATGCTCCCTGCATGCTTCTGCCATCTGACGGCGGCAGGACATAATGAACCTCTCATTATAATTTACAATCGCATTTTTGCATGGATTCGTACAATCCTTCGGATTAAGAAAGTTTATATTGGTATACGTTGGTCGATTTTGTAAAAAGTGTCCGTATTTCTATAAAAAAAATAGTATTTTAAAATCAATGTTTTTCATTAATCTCTTAATAAAACTTTTTGGGGAATTAAAAGTTTACGAAATATATTCTACTAACATGGAATACAAGTTTCATTTTGAACTATAGGTATTTATAATTATATTAATTACAGAATTATTTTTAACGTAATTTTATTCTGAGAACTGAAGCCAAAATAGAAATAAAACAGAATTTAAATATTTATTAAGTATGTAAGTTTAAAAAAACTTTTAAAAAATTACTTAAATTATTTATCAATTTCATACAGCGTTTTCAATTTGATATTGATATCGGATTAATTTCATTCTAATTTTTAAAGCCATCAGAATGAATATGTAATTTTATAGGATATGATTTTTATATATTTATGCGCAATACTATTATATTTACAATTTTCTTATTACGACTTATCGTTTTAGTAAATATATGATTTATTTTTCCATCGGGGATAAAATAGTATAATTACTTTTATTAATTTTTTTCTAAATTTAAATTTATCCCAACTACTTTTTGGGGAGCGAATAAATCAAGGAAATCGTATCGTGAATCTCGTATATAATATGAAAAAAAGAACCAAATGTTGTTGCTGTTCGCCTTGGCATTTAGCAATTCAAGTTAATTTTTCAAAGGCCTTTGATATACTTCCTTATGTCCTGCTATATTTATTTTTTTTCACTACATCCTTAAAGAATTCTTTCCCTCGGTATAATAAATATTTATTTACCATTTATAAAGCTTTATCGTTTAACAATCTCATTTATTGAAATCTTTTTTTTCGTTATTTCTATCACGCATTAAAAGAAGAAAAAAAAATCCTTACATAAAGAAATGAAAAACAATAATTACATTTCATTTCAATAACAATTCACTGCTTATTAAAATTAAATTAAATAAAAATAAAAATAAATTATTAAAATT